ATCATAAAATTTTACTTATGGATATAAACAATTGGGTAACGCAACCGACCCAATTAACCCATCTACCACCACTCAGGTCATTTCACAAATACATTCATCAGACAAAGCTTTCCTCTTGTCACAAAAATTCAAAGCAATGTGGTACATGTTCACAAGCAAGCAGGTTAAAATCCCGCCTGCATAATAACGCTGAAACCCGCAAGCGGGATTCTGTGTTTTTTCTATTTCAAGGTTAGCTCGCATGCGGGTTAATGTTATATTTGAGCGCGAGAAGAAAAAATTGGTAATTAGTCTCTTTGGGCATTATAAGTAAATATTTAAATTAATGGCAGTTTTATTACATCAATATTATTGTATTATCATTATTATGATTATTGTATTATTTCTTATGCAAATATAACATTTAATTATTTAAATTTGATTTTATTTTTACAATTTATAAAATTTTTATCACTTATATAATATTTTTAAAACCCTAATACATCTAAATTTGATTTTATTTTTCAAATTTATAAGATTTTTATTTAAAAAAATGGGATACGGATAAGATATCCGATTGGTTCGATTTGCATAAGTGCATATGAGAATATCCGAATACTCTTTAAACCCGCATGCGGGTTTAAGGAGATTATGGCAACTCTCTGACACACTAGTTACCCATCCAACTTGTGTGTAACTAAAATATATTTAAATAATATATTTCATATTTTTGTTATTTAGAGTTTAACAAAACATTAATATTGGGTAGATTTGAGGGATATGCATAATTTTGCATATTTGTAGGAATATTAGAAAATGGAAAATTTGGGCAAATTCCCAAATTTTGGAGGTAAGGTGCAATCCAAGAACTAAAACAGTCATTTATAAAACCTTAACAGTAATAAGGTGCAAACCAAAGCTGCAATCCAAGAGTAATATCATTACAAATTTCATAACCATACATTAAATAAATAGAAATGCAATCCAATACTATCCAAAACACAAAATGTCTTGGGTATAATAGTAATTTTGCATTATATGATGTCAGCAATTGGGTCCCAAGTTCTGCCAGGGGAGGTCAGTGTAATTGTGGAAACCTCAGGGGAGGTCAGTGAAATTGTCAGAAACCTCAGGGGAGGTTTCTGAAATTATCCCTTTAGAAAAATATAAAACAAAGTGCAATGGTATTTGGTTCATGTTATTTTATTATGACACTCACTTTTTTATGTCTTCATAAAACATGTAAAATGACACTTACAAAAAAGTGTCCTTATAGGTATGTCATAATAGGACATTTTTCTTGTAGTGGGTATTATCCTAGATATGGAAAAGGCCAGATGTGTTAGAATAGTTGCCAAGATTCATCGTGATAAAAAAATTAATTTGCATTTATGAGTTAGATATTTAGCTACAATGTGACTTTTTTTCATTTATATTATCGTCATCAAAATGTTCAATATGAAGAATTTGAATATTATTAAATTCGAAATTAATTTTGAGACATTAATGTTAACTTAGAACTACTCATGCCCTCGGTGCTTAATAATACCACATAACTCATTCATGCTAAAAGATTTTTGTTTTTATAAACCGTATTCTCAATATGTAAAAACTACATAAATCCAAAATTACCATACTTTCTTTGTGAAAATATTAGCATAAAATCTTTTTTTAGGCTGTTTGGGTATTTGTGTTGGGCACCCACTTAAATTTTTTTTTTATATGTGAAAATATATTTGAGAGAGTTTATGTATCAAAATCTGTTAATTGATATATTGGGTCATATTTGGATCATGGGTTTGAGATGACCTAATATGACCCAACCCAAAATTAACCTAATCTAAAGTTAAGCGGATTGGGTGTAACCCATTTAAATGAAAACCCAATATTAACCCGCCTAAAACCAGCCCAACCTGTCCAATTGCCAGGTATACACTTTACTAAGTTATACCAACCTCTTGCTCTATTGACTAAGGTATTACATCAGTAACAAGACAAACTATCATTGTATAAACACAATTTGAAATACCATTTGTTTTAGAGAGCTTTGTTTCTATGACCTCCAAAATCCTTTACTCCGAGGCAAGTCTTATTATTATTTTTTAGAGATTTTTTTAATTATGTTTTCAATCTTTAGGTATTAATGACTTAAACAATTATTTCTATACTTTTTAAACAAATTTTCACTAATCTTGTCCCTCTAAATGTGATTTATCAATTGATTAATCATCTTCTTTGACATTCCTCTTTAAATCTTTCCTAAGGCATACCAGCCTCTTGCCCTACTAAGGTAAATACATCAATAAAAGAAAAAAATCAAATAGTCATTGTATAAACACAATCTGAAATATTATTGTATCGGACTTTTGTTTCTATGATCTTCCAAATCCTTTACTCCGAGGCAAGTTTTATTATTATTTTTTAGAAATATTTTATTATATTTTCAATCTTCAAGTATTAATTTCTTAAACAACTATTCCTTTTTTGTAAGAATTTTTTCTTATTCTAATTCATTATTTTTCTTACCATCTAACTTTGAAGGGATTTATATTTGTGAACTTTTACTATATTTTCTTATTTCAACACCGAATCAAACTTTTTTTTACTCGAATTCTAAAATAATTTTTGCAAAAAGCAAAATTGCTTGTAATTTTTTACAACTTTGTCTTATGTTATTAAAGCATTAGAATGCTAGTTAGAGTACTTTAATATTGACAACATAGAAAATAAATTACATAACCATAAAAAGGACATAAAAATACAAATGAGAATAAAGGCAAGATACTTACCATGTGTGTTACAAAACCGTCCAATTTTGGCAATACATATTCGTAAATCTTAGTTGTCCGATCCAGCTCGATTTCACCTTCAAAAGGGTGACATGTACATAAACCGTATTTAAAAAAAATACATGATTGTTATTATTAATATCGATACTATATACTATTTACCAGTCTACATCTCCAGAAGGGTTCCAATCATAATATCACATGCGTCATTTTTTTAAGGATTTTGAATTATTTTATTCTTTAATTAATTCAATTAATGTTATCTATCGGTTATTAGTTTGTTTGGTTCAAATGTTTATCCCTATATTCCTGGCAGAAAAATATTTTGTTAAGCTAACTTATCAATTTAATGAAAAAAAAAATAACTTATCAATAAATTTTCCTAGATAAAAATGTTTTTATCCTCAGTTGCAAATGACAAATGGCATATGTTGTCATTTGAAAAATGTTTTTCTATACAAGATATATTCTAAATTTAAACAAATAACATAATAAACTTGTAAACATCAATGCATAGTCTTATAAATGTAAACGTGATAAATTTTTTTTCCTTCAACCCTTTTATATAAATAAGGAGTTGTACTAATTATCTTATTATAAAGTGATTAAACAAGGATATCATGCTTTTAAATTATACAAAAACAATCAGTTTCACTATTGCAAATATATTTTGTATATCTTATTTTTTCATGAAAATTAATTTCTTTTCAAAGTGATTGCTTCGAATTCTACAAAAATAACATTAATATTTACATATCTATATCTACACTATATGCCATTCAACAATCAAAACTTACAGAAGCTTTCCTTACTAGTTTTATAGAGTTTACAATTATTTTTAATTTCTTCTAAAATTTAGTCCATACCGTGTAATTTATCTTTTCAAATCACGAAGGATTCCGCAAAATGCACAATAGTTTCAATTGTCTACTACATTCATTACCACTTTAAAATTTAAAAAACAAATAAAACGCTATCAAATTCTTTTTCTACATATAACTACACTACAAAGAGCTGTACAAAATACAAAAATTAATCACTGAATTGCATATAATTGTAAAGATTTTAGATAGTTTTCTATGATACTAAAATTGCTAAATACTTTATTCCAAATTATTTTTTTATTTTGCTCAAAAAATTTTGAATTATTTTAACTATTTGTAATTCCCTAGCACAGGATATAATGCTAGTTATTATGTTGAAGCAGTTTACACTAGCAAATCTAGACGTACCAGACGGGGAGGAGTTCCCTGAGTCACAAGGTGGACAAGAGCTTCCTGAACTGAGGCTAGTTAGAACACCACGACCACGACTGACACACAGAGAACGGCGGGTGGTGGATTTAATCCAAGTACGAGGCACCGGCAGGGCTAAGAAAACCAAACAAAAAAAAAAGAAAGAAAGATGACTATGCATAATAGGAGAAATTTAAAAAAAAAAAAAAAAAAAAAAAGACGGAAGCGAATTCTAAAGCATATAGCTCGAAGCAATACTTGGAATCGAATACCTGAGTTTCGAATACATCCGAATGAAACCAAAGCACGGTAATTGGATGCCGTCCTCCTCAAAGCAAGAGGAGGAGGCGGTGGAGCAACAGGAGAATATTGAAGCTGCAGACCCTGCATGGGGAGGGTTGAACGGAAGAAGTGAGAGACGGATGGGATTCGAAGCAATGGCTTCTGCGTGAAGGACTATTGAGAAATATATAGACCCTGGAGCATGGTGTCGGCAGATTTATTACGTTTAAGTCCAATGCAGATGTTCTAATAACACGTAGACTGGCCCATGGTCTTCTCGTTGGGCAATAGCTGCAAGTGAGCCCAAGTTTCAATTTCTAAAGGGCCGTTTAGATCGTCTAGGCTTTGTGTCTCTCTCTTATTTTGTGTGAAGAATCATTCACTTTCCACCCAAAAAAAAAAAAAAAAAAGTCCCACTTCCTCGGACACGAAGCTTCCCTTAACTCGTTAAGGTTAGTTTTCCATATTTATTAGCAGCCGTCATCTCTAACCTGCGCACTAACGTGTCGCCTTTTCATTGGTTTGAGGAACCAACTGTTGGATCACACGAGGAACTTAACATGCAACAGAGATAACGCAAGTGGGGCCACACATAGCTTACGTGTCTCTGTCCACGTAGGACAGCCTGCTCCCTTGAACTGCCACGTCATACCAAAAAGTTCAAGATAGAGAACCCACCCATAAAAAGTAGATAACAAATGTTATGATATGATGACAAGTTGACAACAAGTTAACCAAAAAAAAAAAAAAAGAGAGAGAAAAAGAAAACTCAAAGCTCAAAGCTATTGCTGATGATGAATGAATTCTGCTACACATGCTAATTCCTGTGACTTCTGCTCAACTGTTTTCTCTCTTTTTTCGTTTCTGTCAGCTGACAAAAAAGGGTTTTCCGCTCTGATTCAGGAGAGTCCAACTGCTTGAGGAGCAAGTTGAGGTTAGTTAATGGTTGGTTACAGTTAATGCTCAAGACTCAAGTTGTTGATTGTGGAATTTCCTGAAAGTTTTTGCCCTTTCATTTTAGTTTATAGCAAGTCAAGTTTAGCAGCTCTTTCTTGAGTGAAGTTGAACCAGTCAAGCTAATCGAGTTGTTTCCGTTGTTTTCAAGCAAATCCCATTTGCAATTAGTAGTATTTGATCAAAGATGGAAAGAGGAGGTAGTGTTTTGGTGAAATTCACTTGATTCTGATATGGAATTTGAGCAGTAGACTGCTGTGGTACTTAATGACTTGGAGTCTAAAGTAATATCCTGATAAAATCGTGAGTTTATCTTGATTCTGCAAAGGTATAATACTTTAATCCTTCACCAGTGACCTTAAGTTCGATCTAGCTCTGTTTGCATGGCATTTCTTTCTTTCCTATCTCTCGGTGGCAATTTATATCCTATAGTCTTTTGAGTTATGTTTCGCCTGTTAAACGTTTGATGGAAGGATGAAATTAGTGTTTGGTAAGATATGAAATGAAAATTTGACTTTCTTATGCTGTTTTGTCGCTTTTGATTGCTGGTTGGGGTTGGATCTAGGAGGAATTCCTGCAGAATTCTGTTTATCTTGGACTTGAATGCATGTGAACGGTTAGCTGTTCGTATTATGTTTCCCTGGTGACATGGAGATGGAAAAAACTTGTGAATTCTGTCTGATCCTAAGACCAATTGTGTACTGTAAGGCAGATGCAGCACATCTTTGCCTGTCCTGTGATGCCAAGGTTCATTCAGCTAATGCTCTTTCCAACCGGCATACACGCGCCATTGTTTGTGAGTCGTGCAGATACCGCCCCTCTTATGTTCAGTGTTCAGATCATCAGATGTTTATGTGCCGCCCTTGTGACCGCAACCAACATGATCTCTCTTCCCAACACCAGAGAAAAGTGATGAGTTGTTATACAGGATGCCCTTCTGCTAAAGATTTTGCGGCACTCTGGGGTCTTGACTTGAATGAATTGGATAATGATAGTAAATCTGAATATCAATCTCTTCCCACGTCAAGTGCAGCAGTAAGTACAGGGGTGCTCACTTTCAACAATTCAAGACAGTCTTGCTCAGTGGCAGGCATTTCATCAGTATTTGATGTGGCTTCCACCACCAGTAAGTTACCCAAAGTCCGATCAAGAGGCAAAGGCACTAAGGTATATGCGGCAACTGTGAATAGAAGCTCATGTCAATTTAGGTCCTTAAACTTGTTACTGGCATTTAGGCATTTCATGTTGAGTTCAGTTTGCACAGCTTTCTTATTTGTTGAAGAGAAAAGTACATAGTGACCGTTTTCATACTTGTGTGATAGTTTCCAATCAAAAAGAGTTCATACAATTTACTAGCCTATTTGATAATCAGGAAGGGGCAAAGTCTAAAGAAGATGGTTCACTCCTACATCTGATGTCATGTCAATTGTTGTCACTATCTTCTGCTGCAAAAGGAGATGCTTTTTCTCCTCTCATACTTTTCCTGAATTTATGGTTTGATTTTGCAGTATGCATGATCTATGATTTGCAATTATTTTTATGCCTCTAATGGTACTTCAACAATGAAATGACCTCTCTGTTGCCTAGCTCAAAAAGTAACACGTAGCAAAGAAACAGCTGATTCAATTATGTCAAATGGTTGTCATTCACTACGCCTGAGCAAGCATTTCATTACCTTTGCTCCCCAAACAAATTTCTTCTCCTTCATGGTGCAGCTGCTGGGGTCATTCTCAAGCCCTTTGCAGTATTCTTCATTGTTTGTGGACTGTATGGTTTCTGAAATCATTCTACCTGCTAAAAGAGTAACATTAAGGGGATGCAAACCAAGAGGTTTTATTTAGCTTGGAGAGAAAAGAGACACAGGAAAGAAATTTTCCTAAAGAAAAAGGAGTGGTGCAACCAGCAATATCACTAAATATAATTGCTGTCCACGCTTCACTACTCTGTACCACACAAAGATGCATCTTACATGCATCTTTACCAGGTTAGATTGGACCCCAACCAATGCTCGAGATTTGTATGAACTGATTATTGAAACATTTATGTGGTATCTCTGAGAAAGTTCCTAAGTGAACCATGAGATAACAAGTATAACTACTTCAGTATGATCAATTTGTAGTTGTCTTTTTTATCCTGCTCAAATTTTATTTGGAAAACAGGTACATCTTACTTCAGTTATGCCATAACATCTATTTTATGCATCCTGCTGAAATGATTCAGCTTCCAAATAAATTACTTATTCCTAGCTTTTGGTCGAAGTTATACCATGGTTTGCCTTAGTAGAGTTTGATTAACATTATAAGATTAGTGCTGTCAACATTAACTACTCCATTGTAGATAATATCTGTTTCTTGCTGTTGGTTTACCATTATCCTTCTTCAAACTTTTGAGAGCTTGGTACGCTAATATAAGATAACATAAGCTTTATACATGTTGTTTCTTAGGATTGATGAAGGAATGTAGGCTGATTGATTACTTACATGTGTAACTTTGCAGGCTGCTGTCCACAGGAAGAATATTTTCCATGTACTGGAACAGATTAATGACTTAAAAAGGCTTCAACTGACTCAGGGAGATGGAAAATTTTCTTTTATGAGAAGCCAAGGGGAAATTGATATGTCTTCATTTAAGTTCCACGCAAAAAGGAAGATGCATGAAAATCTTGATCAACATTTGCAGCATGCTCTTGATCTTGGTTCTGATCTTCACGGCAGTCATCACGAGAATCCAACTACTGAACCTTTTCAACTTGCTTTCTCACAGATGGACGGGGACTCCTTCTGGCAGTGTAAAAGTCCAGTACAGAGTGGCCAGGTTTTGTTATCTTTCTTTCGAGTCATTAAGATGACTTAAGAAGTAAATTCAGTTTCATATATGAATTCAACATGATGGAACTAATGCGCACTCCACACTAATGTGCACTGGAGTGCCTCTTTTTACTATATCACAGAGAAGGATATTCTCAGTTATTTCCAATAAAATGCAGTCCTTCTTACACATCAATACTTTTTTTCTTATAAAATAAGAAAAACCTTTTGTAAATCAACATGTCCTAGTTTTAGGAAAATTAAGTTACTACACATTGCAAACTAAGAAATTTAAGGTAAGCAAGACCAGTTAATGTATTCTTCTTTTTAATATTTTTAGGTGCCAGAATCAGATTTATAACCTAATGCAGTGCATGAAAATCGTTAGTTTGCATTCTTCATAGCATAGTACTTTCTCATTCTACTCTAGTTTCCCTCCCATCCTTCCCTTTTCTTTCTCCTGCTATAGGATGAGACAGATTTAGTAGCTTATTTACCTCCAATAATGCCTTCCCTTTCTCCTGCTGCATGATGAGACAGATTTGGTGGCTTATTACCTATATCACAGCTTCTGAACATAATCATATACCACCTTCAGTTATTCATGATGACCTTGTTAGTATGTCACTTATTTGTGGAACTAAATGCCATACTAGTGTTTCATTTGGGACACGAAGTTCAAATGGATGTCCAGGCACCACAAAGCTGATCCAAAGTTTTCTTTTAGTTTTATATGATAAGCATTTTCCCGCAAATTTTTTGTCCATCCAAATGACAACTGAATGTTGCTGAACTTATGGTTCTTGATTTTCCATTTCAACAAATTTAATGATGCCAAAATGCAATTCATACTTCTGTTTAGTTACTAAGTTTGTTAATGAGTATGATACAACAGTATCAAAAGCATGATGCTAATTGTCAATGAATTACATGTTTATTCTTCAAACGCCATGTACATTTTCTTAAACTTAAAATTTGCAGCTTTGGACTCAAAATATGCAAGACCTAGGAGTTTGTGATGAGCTAGGATGTTCTGATGATTTTACCATGCCTGATGTGGATTCAACATTCAAAAACATCGAAGAGCTCTTTGGAGGCGAGCAAGAGCTAGCTAGAGCTCTGCTTGATGACAATTATACGACATGCTCCTCTGTAGAGAAGGATATGTCTATTAATAAATCAGACAATGGTTATGAACGATCAGTTGAGGTACAAATTATTTTTGTCTGGACTCGTTATCAGCGTATCCTCCTTACAGAATCAGAATATAGAAACTCCAGTGATATGGAAATAGTTCATTTAGGATTATTCCCTGTTAACAAAATTATCAAGAATACATCTTGAAGACTAGATATGCTACTTGACAGTTGAAATTTTCTTTCATTTAAAGTAGTAGCTTTCATTCTCCACCTTTTTTGTACTCTGCGATGCTTCTCCTTCCCCCAGGCTGACATACAGAAAAGTACACCTTGTAAAGTCCAAAGAGGATGAAATTATATACAACTTAAGAGTGTTTTGAGAGTCAAAAAAAAAGAAAGATTATGTTATTCAGATAATGAATGTAAGAAATAATGAGCAGAACAATTACAGATATGGCTACGTGTCTAAGCTGCATATAGATGTAATAAATGAAAATTAGCGACAATAATGAAGATAAGTCAGTGACAAGAAAGCCGCTTACAGTAAAAATCATTTGTCAATACATGCTGTCAAAGCATTTATGTGCAGTCGATTTGAAGTTGTACAGAACTTTGTGAGGGTTGAAAAAAGTACAATATCAAAGAAAAACAAAAAGAAAATGTGTATTTCTTAGAGCTGTAGAATTGAATGAACACAATCAGACAGGCACAATCATATTTTTTTAGTATATGCAAATGATTGTTTGAGCGGTATCCGTTGTATTGATCTAGTCATCAGGTATTCTGGGGCCGAAGGTCGAAGACAGGAGTGGATGCTAATCCCTTTTTTTTTCATTTTTAATTTTTTCCTCCTTGCCTCTCTTTATCCATTACAGGATGTCTCAGCATCTTCTTCAGTTTGCATCTCTTATTCAGCTAATGTTGACAATGATGTTGGCTCTTCTGACTTCACTACAACCAAGGAACATCCTTCAATTAAACCGTCTTATTCAGCATTGTCCCTTTCTCTTTCAAAGCTCAGTGCTGAATGTGTGGACAGTGAACCGTGTTCCAGTTTTAAGAGACAACAACTTTCCAGCAACTTGTCTGATTTGGAGAATGCACAATTAGAATGTAAAGAAAATAACATGACAAGATATAAAGAAAAGAAGAAGGCGCGAAGGTAAGCCTTGCTCTTTCTTGCCATCTCTCTACCTCTTTCTTTTGTTTTTGGTTACTGACTACATTTTCTTCACCTGAAGTGTGGACAAGCAATCTCGGTATTCACCTCGAAAAGCTAAATCTGATGTTAAAAAACTGGTGAGGGATCAATTTGTGAAGATACGTGGATGTGAATCTGATTCTGTGAATTTTAGTCGGAGCTTCTGAAGAACTAAATTTTTGCGTGTCCATTTTCAAGATGCCCTGACGTTTTACTCTTTGGAATTCTCAGAGCAACACAAGAATGTTTGACATATTGTTTGAATTTGCTTGCCTGCATCCCCGATATTTCCGCAATCTTAAACTTGTAAAGCCTGTAGTTATGTCCTCACAGAACATGATATATATCTAATATTTCAGCTTTCCTGTACCCAATTGTTATTGCAGTTTACTCCTGCTGCAAATTATTTCCTGAATGATGTTTGACTTGATTCCTTGTGTAGATCAAGAACTATTAGCCCATTTGTTAAAGAAAGCAAATTGTGACAGTACTAGTCTTTCGTTTGGTGCAAAGATATCAAGAGAGTACTTTTCGCAATACAATACAAGATGAAAAAAAACAGAAAAAACAGGTGTGCAAAATAACCTTCCCTCTGTCAGATCGACCGCACAGGTGATACAAGAGTAAAAAGAAAATCCTGAGAAAGTACAGTTGTTTGATGATTTCTTAATTCTATGAGATAAACAATTTTGGGATGCGTGGAAGCTGCTTCTAGCATGGAAGTTTCATTTCTTTTAACGGTAATAGAAGCCCTGCAGTTTGTGTAGTGGATGCCTGAACTTTTGTGATCCATAGACTGTTGATTTGATAACTATTAAAACACTGATGAATTTACAGCTCAGATAGTGACCTAGTACCCATTCTGCTCTGCTGTTGGTTGAGGTTGCACATCCTTATCCCACTTCATAGCTATTAGAGCTATCCAGTATAAGTTTCGCCTGAAAAAAATCTGATCCTGCAGGCATTATACTCATCTCTTTAAGTGCCCTGTTTATGGTCTCATCTCATGTAAATTCAATACGTAGACATTGTCACAGTTCTTTGTCTGCTGGTCTTGGAGTGGCCATCAAGAAAAGGACAAGGAGCAAACTGGAAAGACAAGAAAAGGAAATTGATAACCATTTTGATTAAGTTATCTAATTACAACTATAAAATCTGTAGTTTGAAGTGCATCTCACAAGAGACAGCCAATTGTATGTGCTGAGAGGAGGCCATATTCAACTCTTGCCCTTATTCCTGGATTTCAAGTAACTTGCATATGAAATGGAAATACCATAGATGCAAAATCAGATGAGCTTACATAGATCTGTGACTAAATTAGACACTTGATTGTTGAGATAGTCTAACAGAAAGGGAAGGAAGATAAAACTTTAATGTAAAGGTCAGTGAAAAGTAATACATTGCTAGCTAAGCTTAACAGCTATGACATACCAAGAAAGAAGTGATTGCTTAAGCCAAATGTGGGATTGTGGGATCATGGGTTTTACCAAACTTATATGATTTAAGTTTTGATTGGAAGAATATTAGAGGAACAAGTTAGTTAAAAGGTGTAACAAAGAAGCAAACACTACAAAGCCATCATGAACATTCTCTTTCCAAATGACACATGTCTCAATCAATTTCAAGATAAAAATAGATTGAATTTTCCAATGACAGAGAAATTGGGAACGCCCAAAACCACCACCATCACCATAACCCCCCCCCCTCCCCCCAACAAAAAAAAAAAAAACTTCTCAACTACGCAACTACAGTTATCAAATAGTAGTGTGTCACTAACCGCAAATGCAGCATTGAAATTACGGAGCAGGAGTTCTGATCTTTTTTCTTTTTCTTTTTTTTTTGGGGTGTAAAGGATTGCAAGTTGATTTGAGATCTGAAAAATGGGACATTTTGATTTGACTGTTATACACACTAGAAATTTGAGCAGCATTGAGCCTCACTAGAAATTTGAGCAGCATTGAGTCTCGAGTCACAGATACTCTGATACTTAGAGCCGAATCGAACCGATAATCTCATGTTTGAACTTTGTTTGTTAAGCGATTCGAACAACGTTCTTGTTCGTTCGTTAATTTTCGAACTCTAAACCTGTGTTCGTATTCAACTCGTTAAGTAAAGTTCATGTTTGAGTTCGAGTTCATATTTGACTCGTTTAACATAAACGAACCGTTCGCAAACATACTCTAAATGCTCGAATCCAAATTATTTTAAGCCTTAAATATGCCATACAAATTATTAATCATTCTAAAAAATAATTAAGGCACTAGGAGACTAAATTCTATTATTTATTAACTATATAATTAACATTAACATAAAAATAACAAATAAAACCCTCCAAATATAAAAGTCTAGCCATAAAATTAATCCTAAAATTTGTCAAATAATAATTATGTCCATGTTCGTGAACGTTCGTTAAAACTCTCAAATATGCTCGTGTTCGTTCGATTATTAATCAAACAAAAAAATTCGTTCGAACTCAGTTTGTTTAAGGTTTCAAACGAGTCTTTCACGAACACGAATGTGTCGAACGAACCGAGCTACCGAACAGTTCGGTTCGTTAAACAACTCTGATGCTGGAGTAGGATTAGATTGGATGGTAAGGTAGAAGATTATAAGTAAAAGATTTTCAATTCATCCACTTACCGCAAAAAAGAAAAATTCACAAATACTACAGGAAAATATTTTTGGTCCATTTTGGTTTGATACCTTTATTTTTTTTTTTTGGGCAGGCGGCTTGGGTCTAAACTCTAAAATGACACATTAGCCTGTCAATTCAATATGTGATAATATGACTTAAACTAAAAATTTCGTATTGAATTGGTATTTTTAGCACAAGTTCAAACTAAAAGAATCAGAATGGAAATCTAATTTAATACTTAAAAGAATCAATTCAAGGGAAGAGTATAACCCTTTAAGCATAAGTCATTCCTTTCTATCATAGCAAGAAGAAAATTCTGCCCCTCAAAATCGTTTTCATTATGATTTGAATTCAAGGACTCTTAACACCAAAAAATAAAATTGTTAGGAACATCCAACTCTCATTTTTATGGCATCAACTGAATTATTTGAATTTCAATATTCAAAAGCTCAGTATTGGGGATATCCAACTCTTATATTTAAGAGGAAAAAAAAATTAAGGCGTTAACAGGAGGCTTGACAAGCATCAACTCATAATTACCGGAATACCCTCACAAACTCCAGCAAGACTCGGTAATTTATGAAGGGCAAATTCGGTCAGAAGAACCCAAAGCTCAGATTTTACATTTTCTTTTTGAACCTTCCCAAAAGTTAGTTAGTAGTGCGGGAAACAAAGTAACAAACTAAACGGTCGCGCAAATTTCCGAAACTACCCCTTAAATCAGTAGCATTTATCTATAAAAGTCTCTCTGATCATCTTCTCCATTAATTTCCAGTCTCAGTTTCTCTCTCTACAGTTCTCCTTTCTCTCTCTAGACCAGCTAAAACCTCAACCAATCACTGTTTTATCAGGTAATACATCCAATAATCTTCCTCGCTCTAATTCTTAATCCGCCTCCACATGTATAGGCTTCAAAATTAAGCACATTTATTTCCTTTATGATTTGCTGGAAATTGCAATTTTCAGAAATTTTAATCTGTTTTCTTCATCCTGCAGCTAGAGAGAGAGACAGGGGGCGAGAGGAAGATGGAGAAAGAAAGCTCGATAACATCGGTTCATGGAGGAACAAGCAATATCAGGAGGAACTTAAGCTACAACGACATTTCCCGATCGCCATCACCATCGCCGTCATTTCTCAATTACGAATCAGACGGCGGAGAGTTCACGACGTACGAAAAGGAAATAATGATGGCGTCACGCTTGCATCAATCTGATTTGCTAACAGACCTGCACCACCATCAGGACCTCGTGGACCGCCAAAACACCGTGCTTTCTTACATGAAAGAGGCCGCCAAGCAAGCCCAAGCACTCCGGCAAGAGAACATTAATCTGAAAATGGTCAATGCTGAGTTGACCAATCGGTTGGGATTGTTGATCAAAGCCACGACGGAGTACGCCGCATCGTTAGGGTTCTCGGGTGTGGACCCGGGTTTGAATGTGGATTCTTTGTTGAATGGGTTGAGTAGGATGAGTTTGGCGGATGGAGCTGGAGTTAATGAGGGGAATGCTTGGAGTGGCCCGGCGGCTGATGGGGACAGTCCGAGTCCGACGAGTGTGATGGAATCTGGTGGAGTAGAAGGGAGTGGGGAAGGGACCCCGGGCAGGATTCTGTTGCCCAAGAGCATATCGATTCGGTCCACTGGATACTTGAAGCCGGTTCAACCTGGTGGGAATGGTGGCGGGAAGGTAAATAAGGTACAGAACCGTAGCAAAATCTGGGATGACACGGTAAATTTTGCTGTCTGGTTTACTGATTTTATCCCAGCGTTTCTCTACTCTGCTATGCTTTGATAATTACTTATTGCCATTCTTGCAACTCTCTGGAATTAAATCTTGGGATTAGCATCTACTGCGGTCAAGAGATCAATCTTAACTAGAGCTAATTAATTGAATTGCATTACTCGAGTTCCTTAGGACTTGGGAGCTTCAGTAAGATACTTTTGGCTTTTCTTTTCTGATCTTTCTCTTGTTACTTTTTGGTTATCTTTCCCTTGTATTAGGAGACATGGCTATCAAAGACGATGTGTGCAATCTTCTTTATGCTTTATGTGGTCCAAATTTAACTTGTGCAAGAGAAAATTTAGCTCCTTTTTCTGCTTCTTGGACTTGTGAAAGATAGGTGCACTGGTTTTGTTTGCGTTTTTATCTTTACACGTATGATGAGGATTTATGTCATGGTCACGAGCACAAAGGACCCCATCATATACAGCGACTGCTTATTGTCTGCAGGGTGGTTCTTAATTAGTAAACTGATGTATTTCAGTGACAATATGAATGTAGCATAAAGTCTTCGTGCGAGGAGGGAAAAAGGAAGAGCAGCCACTTGAACTGGAGGTCTACAATCAAGGCATGTTCAAGACTGAACTCTGCAACAAATGGCAAGAAACTGGGGCATGCCCATATGGAGACCACTGCCAATTTGCTCATGGAATTCAGGAGCTTCGCCCTGTAATTCGCCACCCACGATACAAGACAGAGGTGTGTCGCATGGTGCTGAATGGTGATCACTGCCCTTATGGACATCGCTGCCACTTCCGCCACACTCTCACTGACCAGGAAAAAGTCATCAGGTCCATCAACATAAGGTCTCTCAAGGTGCTAAATCGGTAGCTTGTGATTATTCATTGTTTATCAAACTCGTGGTGATGATGGTTTACTGATCACGGAAATGTAAATGAATGTGAAGAGCTGTTTATAATCCTTAAAATAATTCATTAATTAGTAAATTGCAAATGGAAATAAATGCACAGTGAGGCACTCGGCGTATCTGTATCATCAGGATCAGAAGTGAAAGAGAATATATGCTAGAAGCTGAAACTTGAAAGCATCAGAATGACAGAGTCTCTAGGCAAGTTGGGTGATCTGTATTTTCTCGTCTATCTGTTTGTAAAAATAGGCTTTTGGCATTTGTCGATTAAATATTATTCTGTCTTTGACCATAAAATAGAAGAAGCATGGCAAGATAGGTTAAAAAAGCTCGTGTACTTCATCATGTAATCTAAATATGGCCCAAAGTAATAAGCGTTTCTGATTTTTGCAATCAATTTGGCTGGAGTTCAACTTTATTGTAAAACATTGTCCATTGTTCATTTGTTGCCCTAGTTCACAACTTCACCTATCAGTTTCTGTTGATCATGATTGAAATGGAAGAGCAAGGTAATCTTATGGGCGCGTTCCTATCTACCAAAAACTATTGACGTGCATTTGGACGAGTATAAATTTGTGTAGAGAATCGCCTAGATGTAATAAGAGGAGGAAGATCAAACATTATTATACGGTTAATGGTTTAAGTAAAGAGGTACTAAACAGCCAGCTCGCTTAACAACCAAAGTTTGACGTACCAAAAACAAGTCCTTTGTTTTGGGCAAAGTTGTGAGGATCATGGCATTCATCAAACAAATGAAATCCTTTTGATTGGAAACGAGTGAAACTAGTTAGTTAAAGTTGTAGCAGCGAAGCAAACTCTCTCAAGTATCCATCATGGCATCCCTACCAAATGACAGAATGTCCTAATCAAGTTAGATTCCAATGACCCAAAAAATGAACTCTCCTAAACCACTATCACCAACTATAAGCTTTCAATACAAGCGATATTAGCAATCAAACAGCCCTCACTAACCGCAGCATGGAAAGAGACCCGGAAAAAGTCACTTAACTCACTTGGTCAAGGCTCTATTGGACCCTTGTTTTACTTCATAATTCACTGTAACTTTCTATATATAATCCGTGAGCAATGGGTTTGGTGTTAAAACAACATGTCATTGTTTGTTATTTCGATTTTATTTTTGCATGATGAAGTAATGTATTTCCTATTCCCGTATTCATATAACTGCTCCTACTATACTTATCTACGACTCATGCTTCATACTTTCACGTTTATATAGAAATTCCCACTACTTTGTAATTAATTCCTTTACTGCAACTAATTTGTTATTCTATATTTTTGTTTTTATTTTTCCCTTACTAATTAGTGCCTCACCCACTACTTGAAGATAATAAGTTAGAGTTTTTTTGTACTTGAAAACATAATTGACAATCATATTTTTCTTAGCCATGCAGATATAATTTTTGTTTCAATAAGTGGTCGATTGTTAACACTGTTTGTCATACTACAAACTTATAGCCTTTTTCGTGATAAAATTATGTCAAAGAGAAAAGGAATATTGCCAAATTTTATTTTAACATCAAAGAGACAGAATTTTGTAATTACTAATAATGTTTTAAAAACTAGTGGAGTAGAAATGTGGAATAAGTGTTATACCCTGAAATGAAAAAGGGGGACAAGGGCATGTAGGGTGATGACATTTTCGTAAATTAACAGTTCATCAAGGGTATACCTCTGACAAGCTCATTCATAATGCCAAAGTCGTTACTTTTCCCGCTCAAAATCCTATCCGGTATCAGGCCTTGACAAATACGTAACCGACTCCACCATAGTTACAATTACCTTTATACCCTTTGAAGAGCGGGATTTATACCAAATCTTGGAAGAGAGCTGCAAAACAAACGAAGCAGTTAGTGTAAATCATCATCTTTTCCCAAACTACCCCTGTCAAGTCACAAGTACAACTATAAAACCTCTCTGCCTTCTTCTCCAGTTCCATTTTCCAGACTCAGTTTCTCTCTCTAAAACTCGCTCATTTCTCTCTATACAGCTGAAGTTCACTTCCGTTGCTGCTTAACTCATTTTTGTTCTTGTTTTCAGGTAATTAATCAATTCATTACTCTTTTCTTAGAGGTCTTCGTTTATAGAAGTAGTAATTAATTCAATTTTGAGTTTATTTCCTGTTGTTTTGGTTGATTAATTCTCCTGTTAATTTCAGCTTTAACTAATTTTTTAAGTTAATTTAGACTATACGTAATCGCCATTTTTATTACTCCAATCGAACGCTGTTTATGTGTAAATTCTAGCTTTTGGATGATCTTCGATGTTTCGTTGTGAAAATTCATTAATGTTAGCCAGAAGCTCGAATGACGCTGCAATTTCGTGAACTTTCCAGGAAATTAAATGAAATTTGCAATCTTTTCCGTTCGAAGATGAATATGAACAGAATTTATGCAATATGCACATAGATGAATATGCATATACCTACTTATGGTCGTATACTTAAGTTTTACAGAGAAGAATATAGCGAGACACGAGAATCAGGTTTTAACTATAGATATAGATAAACTTATTTGCATTTATTCATATTTGCTCAATAATTACGCGGAAAATCAGAATAAGCGTCTCGGAGATCCGGTTGTGTTCAACTGCATTAGTTGTTCGTATTTTTTCATCTAACATTAGTATGGAGGATTTTTTCTGTTCATGTGACATATATTACTTAGTTTCCAAGAAAATTAATTTTTTAAAAATTGCTGCAGCTAAATTTCATAGAAATCTGTTGAGAAATCATGGAAATGGAGAAAGAAATCTCTAAAACTGGGCAAAGAGGTGGCAGAACAGCGAGGAATGACGTGAGCTTCAACAACATTCCGCTACCACCGGCGTCGCCACCGTTACCATTCGTAAATTACCCAGGTGACATAGGCTTGGCGCCTTACCGGCTGTCGGAACTGGAAATCAGAATGATGATGTCACGGTTGCGTCACTCTGACATGTTAACGGACCTGCACCACCATCAGGAACTCATAGACCGCCAGTACACGGTGCTTTCTTACATGGAAGAGACCGCCAAGGAAGCGCAAGCGTTGCGCCAAGAGAATATCAGTCTAAAAATGATCAATGCCGAGTTGACGAATCGACTGAGCGTATTGCTGAGAGCAACTTCGGAGTATGCTGCGTCTGTTGAGTTGTCGGGTCTGGGGCTTGGTCCGGGTTCTGATATGAGTTCAGTGTTGCATGGATTGGACAAGATGAATTTGGGGGACGGGGCTAACGAAGACAGGAGAAACAGGGGAGATGATGTGGAGGGTGCTGGGGAGGATACCAGTCAGGACACCACGGTGGATACGGATCTGGCTGAAGGAAGTGAGAATGATGAAGTGAATCGGGTTTCCTTGCCAAAAAGTATCTCTGTTCGGTCTGATAGGAAATTGAAGACTGTTCAAACTGGTGGAAGCAGCGAAGGGCAGATATATAAGGTAACTGGATCCCATAAAAAATACAGCTATAAAGAAGTAAATTTGTTAATTGTTGAAACTTTTCTATTGGCTAAATTGGGATTTGGGGTACAGTAGTACATTAATTAGTTGTCCCTGATTCTGTTTTCTTTAAACCAGAAAGCACTGTGATCATAGTGGTCGATATGTTGACTGGGTTGTGTTAATAGGTCTACAGAACTAAAGCTTAAGTGCTTAACACAGCCTCATCAGGAAATTTTTATACTATATTCTAATATTAGGTGACATTGATTGTCTTATTGAGGGCATCTGTAAACCATTTGGCCTGACTTCTCGATGTGTTAATTCGTTTTTTTGATGAAGCTGTTTAGAATTCACTAAGAGACATGAAAACTTACTGAGTGTTGTTTTGATCAGTTAAGTGAATTGTTATCGCAATACAATGGTGAATCTCTTTTCCAGGTTTATTTTCTTTAGAATTCATCAAATGCTAATTTCCATTTGAGATTTATTTTGTTTATGCTTTCCCACTACTTTCTTTATGAGACTGGGGATTGCCAAGTTTGTTGCATGAATCAGGAATATATTTTATACTAAAGGCAAAACGAGTAACTCTAGGAAATGTCTGGTGTTTTGGCTGAGCATCATCCATTTCTAGCCAATGCCCTGGTCGCATGATTGTTAGCTAACGTGTTTGATGATGTGAGTGCAGCAAAGGGTGTATGTTCCAGGAAGGGAAAAGGAGAAGCAAGCTGTTGAGCTGGAGGTCTACAATCAGGGAATGTTCAAAACCGAGTTGTGTAACAAATGGCAAGAGACCGGGGAATGTCCCTATGGAGAGAACTGCCAATTTGCTCATGGAATTAAGGAGCTGCGCCCTGTACTTCGCCACCCAAGGTACAAGACTGAGGTATGCCGCATGGTGTTGAACGGTGATCACTGCCCTTATGGACACCGATGCCACTTCCGCCACACCCTCACTGATGAGGAGAAGCTCATCAGGTCCATGAATATCAGGCCCCTAAAGCCACTCAATCGTTAGGTCCATGATTATAACTCCCCTAAATGATGTTGGACAATTGCAGAAGTCTTGGCTGGTATGCAACGGTGTTTTTGTTCTTCAAAGTAAGCAAAAGATTAATAGGCAATAAGGCTAAGGTCCACTGATGTGATAATACAAACTGCTTGATTAAAAAAAAAACTGTATGATCCGTAGTCAAGGAGATTAATGGTACCATTTCTCGGCAGTGCACCTTTGATGAGTTAGTGTGCACTGTTTACGTGGTTGTTTTTAGTTCATGAAACGAAGGAGCAATAAGAAGCAAATGATAGAGATCTTTTTGGATTGTGATATGCACACGGCTATGTAACTATGTAAGCATTTCCTTGAAATTGCAAATATTTGACATTCTACGTCGGTTTTGTTCTTCTTCATTTTCTGGATACGGTGTAAACCAGATGTGAGCTTACTTTAGTGACGGACCTCGTTTTATCACTGTTTTACAATATTAGGAGTGATGACTAGAGAACTCATGAAGTTACAGAGGAATTGCTCAATGACTCGGTGTCTGATCTGATACTATTAGTAACTAAGGTGATGCATTACTTTAACTGCAGACACAGAAAACCCAAAATCACAAAATAGATAGTTTAAAAATGAAAGCCTTTAAGATGCATTCTGCCTCTCTTGTATCAACTATCAGGCTAGTATTCGATTTCGTTATATGTTTTTGGAAGAAACTTTTAGATACGTCACTTTGAAGATGATCAGAATTAGCAGAATTTGATAGAAGGCTAAGAAAGGACAGGCCGCTTGCAAAAAATAGTTTAAAGGTAGTTGGGCTATTCAACATTTTCCCCTGGTTTAAGGAAACAATGAAGAGTAGTAACGCTCCAATCTAATTTTGAGGAGTATCCGCTGCAGAACTCGGGCAGCTTTGTAGGCTGGCTACTATAGAATGGTTTATTCACCCCAACAGCCCAAGGTATGCTTTAAGGCTGGGGGAACTTTGGGCCTGGTTTGGTTATGATGAGCATGAATGGTACACTGCAAGACTATATACACTTTCAAAATTGTTAAGATTCCTACCCAATGGGCTAAGTCAGACCTCCTATTTATATTTATATGGTGTAAAGAATACCAGACTCTCTCAGTAGGTTTTCCACTCCACGGCTCCAAGACCTCACTAATAAACTTCAGCCGCCATTTCTGACGATCAGAGTCAGTACCAAAAAGCCAAAGGATACCACTTTAGATCTAGAAAGAAATTAAAGGATAGGATAGGATGGAAATGGAGGAATAGCTAGGGAAAGCTTTTGGAAATCTGTGGGTTGGCAACAGCTGCTGCTGTCTGTTAAACTTCGGAGACAATACTGGTAGCACAGATTGGCTGTGTTACCAAGCCCACCGAGTCCAATGGCCTTCCTGAGGTTTCTCCGATTCCCTTCATACCCTTTACATATGTGAACTGGTCGAAAGATGGGACGAAGAGGGAAAGGCAGATGGGTTTTTGCAAGAAATTGTTGGTGTGGGTGTGTGGGAGAGGATATGCATGAAAAAAGTAAAAAACCCTTTGCTTAGAAAGAAAAAAAGAAAGTCAAAAAATTTTGAACGGTTGAAGATTATATCCTTTCCCAATCCACCCATACCGATGATTTCTTGGGATCCCTGCCTTTCCCAACCTTTGTTCTTTTAGATCTCAGACTGCTCTGCAGATATGGTAAAATCTTTCGGGTATCTTAACATCTGATTATTTATATTGAGATTTATGTTTGTGCTAGGTTTTGATTTTCTGCTGATTATTTACAAAAAAAAAAAAAAAATTTTTGATTTTCTGCTGATTTTCGGGTCAGGTAAACCATTGGCTCTGAGTTTTGTCATCTTATCATTTGCAGATTATACGCTAGTACGTTTTGCTTGGGGAACCGGTAAATCAAATGATGCTTGATTAGCTGTCAGATTTTTTATGTTAAATATTGAGTTTGTGAATGATTTTGAGTTAGGTATAATGTTTGGTTAATTGAGTGAAAAATTCGACCTCAAAGTTTTCCAATTTACTTCAATGGTGTTTTGTTGTCTCGCAAAACGCCTTCGACCTTCGAGTTTGGATAGGCAGAAGGGAGAAAATACTCTGTACCAAATGTGAAGATTAGCGGAGAGGAGAAAGAATTTATCAAAAATCATGTTGACAGAAATTGTTTTCGATTCTCACTCACCTAAGATCAATAGTAAGCTCCGGTTCTGAGAACTGAGTCCAGTCCAATTGGCATGATATCATCATGAAGGCCAAAATTATTTTGTTCTCCAGTTTCTCTTTGGTTCTTTTCTTTTTTTAGCTTGCCCCTTTTAGGGAAGCAAAGTGATATATGTTGGGAGGTTTTCTGAGGTTGAAAATACAAATTATTTAAGATAATAATAATACGAGAGTTCTAAATCAAGATAAGGAAAAGAGTTTCCTCTGAGCATCGATCTGACTTGCGGTTCTTACTCAGAAGCTAAAGCGAAGATATTCTTTTATCTTTGCAATTTGCAATTGATGCTCAATCAGAGAATCCAATGCGGAGTGAGTATTGGGATTGGCTGGCTAATGAAACCAGCGAATAAAAACGCTGAAACAAAGCAAAACAAGTTCCGTGCACGCAATTGCAGCAAGTATGACTGCAAATTGATGAGACCGTGATCTTAATCCTTTTCACATGTATTTGACTTCACTCTCTTACAAAAATCAGGGGTCTGTTATTGGATGGCCATCTTGAAAGCCAACAGAAAATCACTACATTTTTTGGGGAAAGGCAAGCTGTATTAATAAGAGGGAAAAAAAAATTACGAAGTAGATGTTTGTTTCTAATAATAATGTCTAAAACAACTGGAGGATAGGAGAGGTAAGAATTTCGTCAGTAGTATAAAACAGGCGAAAAAGTATATATAATGTGGTGTTGGATTTAAAAAGCTTGCCTCTGTCGAGAAGAGAGCTATATATTATCCATTAAAAAAAAAAGGTAGCCATAGTCAAGTTGAATGTATCTCCCAAGGTTCAAGAACATCTCTGTACTTGACTTTGAACAACAGCAAAAGTGGAGTAGTATGCTAACCTCCACTTGACAGCATTCTTGATTTGCTCAAAACCAATCTGGTGGGCTTTTGATTGTTAAAAGTATTAAAAATGTTAAGAGACCAAACTCTAAAAGTAATAAATTCAGTAATTCACAGCCAAAAAAGAGTATGGCTGTGACCCTGTTGAGACGTTATGTTATACCGCAGCTTCTTTGGAAAATCATTTGCATCCCTTTTGACACTGATGAGTTTGAATGGAACTGTATAATTTCTTCACTGTTGTTGTTGAATTGTAAGGAGAGGCCTTATTTATTTAGGAGCGTTCTTTTCATCCAACTAGAAACATCTAACATGAGCAGCTCAAGATTGTTGAGATCCAAAACCATACCCGTGATCCATACGATGTCAATGCGATTATTATATATTTCTTAATTTTCATTTTTCTAAAAATTTCTTCTCGGTGGGCGGCTATTTTAGACTCCTTTGTTCTTTTATTTGGTACCAGACTTCGTAGTAGGTTTTGGACCACCCTACTCCAGGACCGCACCAAACGAACCTCAGCCACCATTTCTTTCTTACGATCAGAATCAGTACTAAAAAGCCAAGTATGCCACCGTAGATCTAGAAAGAACTGGATAGGATGGAAATGGAGGAAAAGCTTTTGGGGGTCGGTGGATTGGTAACTGCTACAGCTATATATTAAACCTTGGAGGCAATACTCATAGCACAGATTGGCTGTTACCAAAACCCCCCCGAGCCCAATGGTCTCTTCCTGAGGTTTCTCCAGTTCCCTTCATGCCCTTCACAAATGTTCAATGGTCGAAAGATTGGACGAAGAGGGAAAGGCAGATGGATCTCTGCAAGAAATCGCTGGCGTGGGGGCCTTGGAAAGGATACGCTTGAAAAAATCGTTTTCTTGAAAAGGTTGGAGATGATATCCTTTCCCAGGCCTCCCATGCCGGTGATTTCTTGGGGTCCCTCCCTTTCCCAAACTTGTTCTTTTACATCTCTGGTTGCTCTGCATGTATTCTGCAATGGTAAAAGCTTTCAGTTGTCTTATCATCTCTCTGCCTTTTTATATTCAGATTTATGTTCATGCTAGAGTATGATTTTCTGCTGATTTTATGGTCAGATAAACCATGTGATTTGAGCTGTGGTTGTCTTTTTTTTTTTTTGCAGATTACATGTTACTTGAGTTCTTCTTCAGGGACCAGTAAATCAAAGGATATATGCTTGATTGGCTGTTAGATGATTTCAGTTCATTCATTGAGTTGGTGAATAACTGGCTTCAAAGCTTCGAAATTGTGTTTTTCATTTTAGTTGTGTTATTCGTCTGGCAAAAAAGTTATTAGAGCTTTGAATTTTCCCAAGGCAAAGAGTGATATGTATTCCTCTAGTACCAGCTACTAAACGTGAGATTTATAGTTGATGTAAAAGAAGAAATCATGTAATAGAGTAAACAAAAATTTCTTCCTATTTGTAATGAAATCAACCAAAAACACTCTTCCACTGCACCCCTGTGAACAAAGCCAAAACAAGATGAACAGATTTGCAACTGTGATTGCAAAAAGATGAGATCATGAACTGCAAAAAAAAAAAAAAGTCTACTTTGAGTATTTACCCAAGTCTTGTAATTTGAACTCCCAGTAATATGAGTAATTTGTATTAAGGTAGTGATTCAAGAGGTTCAATTTACCTCTTGCAGCATAATCCTTGAGTAATACCAAAATGAAGTATCAAACGTAGACTAAAAAAAATTAGAAGCAAACATAGGAAAAAAGTGCCCTTTACCTAGGCTAAAACATAAAACTAAATAAATGTATATAGAGATAGATTAATTTTTCATTCAACCTAGTAGGTTCTTTTAAAAAATAAAAATAAAAACCATGTTACAATAGTAAAAAAAAAAAATCTCGAAAGACGAAACATACAACGTTCAAGGCACGTATTCTTACACTAATTTATATAATATTAATGGCACCCTTAAGACTAGTTTAAAGCTACTACTCTTACTCTTAGACTAGCTTATATTATATTAAAGGTACAATTTAAGACTTATTCAATGAGTCTGAGTTTAATTGAGTTTTTAGTTTTTTCAGTTCGATTCATCAAATTAAACTTATTGTAACGAGTTAAAAATTGTATTTGAGCTCGAACTTAATAGTATGATATAAATAAGTCGAGTTTAAAAGAGCTCGAGCTGAAAAAACTCAAATATGCTTGAATACTCTAAACAACTTTGCAACTAAAAAAATATAACTAATTAAATTTGCCCATTGAATGAAAAGATTTCACTCACTGTGTAAGAAGATTCCCAATATTTAAATAAAACAAAATTTTAAACAATCAAGACGAAAATAACTCAATATAATTACTAAAAAAAAATAGTAAAACTAGAGGTTGAATGAATGGACAAATGAATCTAGACGGATGACTCAGACTTGCGTCGGTGGATTTTAATTCAACGAACCAGGAGCTGACGAGGTGCGCACGGGTCCTTCCATTACCATTTGTCTGGTCAACTTTTTGCAGCCTCGAAGCTACGCAACGCGCTTTTACGCTGCCCCACCACCTTCTTGACAATGAGCCTTTTCAGAATATATGCCTTTTTTTGTTAGATTCGTTGGCATTTTATAAATACTGGAAAAAAGAAAAAGACATAAAAACCAGATATGAAGAGAAATTAATATAATTTTCTATTTTTTTGGTTGAGGAATGTTAGAATCTTATTGATGAATGATTTTGAATTATGCCCATAATTATATCTCATAGTATACATAATTTACAAAATGGGTTTATCAATTCTTGGATGCTTTTCTTCTATCGGGAGCAAAGCAATACAATAGGACAGCACATGGAAGTCACGTCGTGGTTTCTCTCTTTCTTTCCACCTGCCGGCCGACAATGACTATTATTCAATGGAAATGGTGGGGCCTCTGATTTGTGCAGACATCTCTATATAATGAATAGTGTGACGAAGCATTCCACTCTGGTCTCGAGTCGGCAGAAGTGATTAGGGGTAGGAGAAAAGGAAGATGCCTTGGAAAATCCGGAGGAAATGGGAGGTTTGGTAAGAAAAGCAGCTCAACTAAACTACAGAGTGCGAATCTTTTCTTGGTTTTTATTCGGCTTTTCTTTCCCAGTCCTCCCATTCCTATGGGTTTCTAGAGTTTCTTCCTTTCCTTTTTCTACTCTTACTACAACCCATCACTTGTTCATAAAATTCTGTGCAGAAAATTAAGGAAAAGAAAAAAAGAGAGAGAGCAGTGGATGATCATGCATATTTGTATAGCAAGGCAAGAGGAGGAATGAGGGGGAAAGGGAGCTTAATCTGCAGGAAATTAGTGGGATGGGTGACCGGGGAAGATTTGAGGTAAATCTTTGGTCATTTTTTGTTTTTGAGGGACCAAATCTTGGTCTTCCCTAGTCCTCCCATCCCGGTGATTTCCTGTGGATTCTCCTCTTCCACAACTTATTCTACAGGCCCAGATCTCTCGGTCTCGGATTCAGAACTTTAAGTAATTGCTTACTAAGTCATGAGGTAATAGTAGTCTCTCTTTGCTCTGCCTTCTTGTCCCTTGATCAATTACTACTACTTAGTATAGCAGTTTTATGTTTGCTTAGATATGTTTTATGTAGTAAAACTTTCTGATCATCATGTTTCCTGACCATGGTTCTAGCCGAAAAGGGCTGTGGAGGCTTGGATCTTGGGGATGCTCATTCTAAAATCTGGAAATGGCTTCACCATGCAACCAAACATGTGACTTGCCACCACGAGTATACGGCTAATAATGAAAATTCTGCATCGCAGAACATTGGAATCTCCTAGCTCATTAGACATGAAACAGATGAGTTAGATACCATAGCACCAACTGAAGAAATTATTTAAAACAAAAAACCAATAATATGTCCTATCTTTTATGTCCAAAAAATTTTAGAAGGGCACTGTTCCACAATTGATTTATGATATCCTGTACCAGCCTACCAGGGACTAATGGCTCCTCCTCTGCATGATTGAGGAAGTTGCAACTTTTACATTCTGCAGATTCTATATTTGAATTCTCATCAGATCAAAGGTGCACTACAAGGATTCGCATAAATTGCTGATGCCTGATAAGATTGTGTCGATTTTATTTTGGTGGTTTTTGATTTTTTTTTTTTTTTTTTTTTGGAATGGTATAGAAGCATTTCCGCTTGGTACTGATGTGGGGTTGGGGGAGGGGGAGGGGAGAGAGAGGGGCACATTCAATGAATTTGGCTTTGATTTTGATGGAAGACAGAAATGGAAATCTAAGCCAGGATTAACAACAATAACAACGTTTGTACGCTTCACTTGGAAAATTTGGTTGTCTAACAATTAGATTACCATCCTAGGTTCAACCTCGAAGTGTTTCGGCTAATTTTAATTTAACTTGTGCGTAACTTTACCGTTTGAAAAAAAAAAATTTTTAGATTACCACAAAACGACCCAATAACAAATGAAATTAATTAAATAAATTTTTTCTTGCATTAATAGTTTATGGTCTGGAAGATCAAGATCCTGTAAGATGGACATGCTGTCTAGGCTTGCATTCGGAGACTAAAACTTGGCCAGGAAATGCATATTCTTGCCTAACTATACTAAATGTTTATATGACCACGAAATTTTTTTAACATCCTCATATACTCTATTACCAAATTCTGATGCAACCCTAGGGAACCAAAAGCTGCATCAAAGAGATACACAGGAATGGTTAGCTAGTTCAAGGATTTCAAATAGAAAATTCTCTACTGCGTAGTTCAGCGTGTCCATCATGAAGCATTTCTGTTTTCTTTTAGAAACAAATTTTAACGAGGTGTTTCATTTGCATTAGTACATCACAAGGACATTTTGCAGTAAGTATCTTGAAACTATTTTACCAAAAGAAAAAAAAATAATATTAACTTTTGTACCTATTCTAAACGCGGCTAATTGATTGAAATATTGATGCTTCCCAAAATTAGCCGTCAAATGTGGTTCTTGACTTGGGTGGTACAATTGTATGCCCGTCGCTCCAACATGGCGCGACGGGCAGCAAAAATTTTTTTTTTAAAGTTCTTCTGGCCGTCGCGCCATGTTGGAGCGACGGTCAGAGGTGTCAGAAAATGGTAAACATGATAAAATGGTAAACATTAATTCTTTAAGAATTCCCTAAATCCTTTAACAAATGGATCAAAATTTTTAAATCTAATCTCCTTTAAAATACTTGTTTTTAAAATTTTGTCAAACTAAATGCATTGTTTTAAAACTTTTCATTTTAAATAATTTTTACAAAAAAATTTTTGAGAAATTTCCAAATGAATTGGACAAAGATTTAAAAAAAACATTTCTAAATCACTGAGTTGAAGGATTTTTTATTAAAACAAATTCTAAGTTATCTGTAACGTAAACCCTAACCCTAACCCTTACCGTAAGTGTAACCTTAACAAAAAATTTTCTTTTTTCACTGAGGAAGAGGATTTTTTTTTAAAAAAAAACATTTCTGACCGTCGCGCCATGTTGGACCGACGGTCAGAGGATTTTAAAAAAAAAATAAATTTCTGGCCGTCGCGCCATGTTGGAGCGACGGTCAGAAATTTCTGACACCTCTGACCGTCGCTCCAACATGGCGCGACGGCCAGAAGAACTTTAAAAAAAAAAATTTTGCTGCCCGTCGCGCCATGTTGGAGCGACGGGCATACAATTGTACCACCCAAGTCAAGAACCACATTTGACGGCTAATTTTGGGAAGCATCAATATTTCAATCAATTAGCCTCTAAACGCACGCAGCTTTCTTTCCTGGAAAATGCATAATAAAGTAACCATATGTATTCTTTTTAACATGCACGGATCTACATAGGTATCCGCTGGTAAATTAAATACAACGCAAGGCTTCAACAATTGAAAATCGGGGAAGATTAATCTCTTGGAGAGCACAAAGCTGTGGGCTAATTGATTGAAATATTGATGCTTCCCAAAATTAGCCGTCAAATGTGGTTCTTGACTTGGGTGGTACAATTGTATGCCCGTTGCTCCAACATGGCGCGACGGGCAGCAAAAATTTTTTTTTTAAAGTTCTTCTGGCCGTCGCGCCATGTTGGAGCGACGGTCAGAGGTGTCAGAAAATGGTAAACATGATAAAATGGTAAACATTAATTCTTTAAGAATTCCCTAAATCCTTTAACAAATGGATCAAAATTTTTAAATCTAATCTCCTTTAAAATACTTGTTTTTAAAATTTTGTCAAACTAAATGCATTGTTTTAAAACTTTTCATTTTAAATAATTTTTACAAAAAAATTTTTGAGAAATTTCCAAATGAATTGGACAAAGATTTAAAAAAAAACATTTCTAAATCACTGAGTTGAAGGATTTTTTATTAAAACAAATTCTAAGTTATCTGTAACGTAAACCCTAACCCTAACCCTTACCGTAAGTGTAACCCTAACAAAAAATTTTCTTTTTTCACTGAGGAAGAGGATTTTTTTTAAAAAAAAAACATTTCTGACCGTCGCGCCATGTTGGACCGACGGTCAGAGGATTTTAAAAAATAAATAAATTTCTGGCCGTCGCGCCATGTTGGAGCGACGGTCAGAAATTTCTGACACCTCTGACCGTCGCTCCAACATGGCGCGACGGCCAGAAGAACTTTAAAAAAAAAAATTTTTGCTGCCCGTCGCGCCATGTTGGAGCGACGGGCATACAATTGTACCACCCAAGTCAAGAACCACATTTGACGGCTAATTTTGGGAAGCATCAATATTTCAATCAATTAGCCAAAGCTGTGCTGATCATGTTCTGAGCATTGCATTGCTGTTTATGTAGTTGCATTCTCTATGATCAGCGAGAACAGACGCCAGATTATGGGATTTACCACGAAAGAGTAATAGAATTTCACCGTAAAGTAGAGCAGTGAAGGAAGAGTAGAATTTCACCATGCTCTAGAGTATAAAAGCTTTAAAAAAGTGTTTCTAGACCCAAAAGCACTTAATTACTAAAACACAAGAACTCAAAATATTTATTCGATGATCCAAAGGTCTAAATAAGTCATTAAAAGCTCTGTTAGCGGTTTGGTGATCTAACGGATCAAAATCATGAATACAGTAATTTGCTCTATCTTTTTCACAAAACCCTCCACGAGCTATTTCTCCATTCGCGGCGGCAGTACTGCATGCATTCTCATTCTATTAACATGGGTTTGTTTGGATAGAGGATTATTTGTCAAAATTTATTTGCTTACATCATTATTATAATTTTCAACACATCTTTTTATTTTCCCAATTATCTTTTTATCTCACATACATCACATCACAAAAAAGTGCTACAGTAAAAATATCTCATTGTCGAAACTTGACGCTTAACCAATCTGGTACTAGACCTAACACGAATAACTCTTCTTTTTCCTCGAAAAACATGTAGATAATTAACCTGGTTATTAGGTCTGGTATAGAGCTGAAAACGAATCGAGCTGCTCGCGAGTGGGTTAAAACTTAACTCAATCTCGGTCAACATCGAGTTTGAACTTGAACTCGAGCTCAAAAATATTCAAATATATATATTTTTTTGATTATATATATTATTTTTTATTTTAATAATAAAATTACATATATGTTCCTAATATTTTATTATTTATTAAGAAAAAATTTTTATTTATTTTTAAAAAATAAAGTAATTAATTTTTATTTTTTAAGCGCTCAAACTCTAGATTCAGCTACTCATGCTCGAGCTCCAACAACTTGTGCTCGAGCTGCAACTGTTGAAGCTCGAGCACGTGCTTGAGCTTGAGCTCGAGAGCTCGAGTTTGAGTTTTAGATTTGCAGCTCGTCGATATTAAGTTAGAGTTCGACCTTGATAAAACTAAGTCGAGATTTAACTCGATTAGGTCAGCTCTCGACTTAATTCGACTCATTTGCAACCCTAATCTAGTAGCAGACTTAACACTAATAACACTTCTTCTTTTTCCACGAAAAGCACGGAGATAATTATCCTGTTTGTTAGGCCGTCTGATACCAGACATAACACTACTATTAACTCTTCTTCTTTTTCTTGCTTCAATTAAAGGAAAAGCGCGTAGATAATACGTGATAGGCAGTGAAGGAAGATCTTCTCTAGCAAACTTCTCACGAATCAGAGACAGTGAAGGAAAACCATTTCTTCCAAATGAAGCGTTATGCGATTGAGGATCTTCGCTGCCAAGTTTCCCACGAGTAGTATCAATAATCTCTTCCGTGAAGGAATGAAGCACTCCTAAAGTCTCCAACAAAACCAATCGCTTGCCATTTTTCCCATCAAAAAACTCCTTGACCGCCTTCTCAATACAATGTTCCCTTTCAGCTATAGCAAATTCACATGATCCAAATCTCCATATCTCACCTATTTCAAATTCCCGCATCTCTAATCTAAGACTATATTTATCTGCACATTCCAGCGCCTCAAGAGCTTTGTTAGCAACATCCCTGATGCCTTTCACAAATTGGCGACATCGCCATTCATTGGAATGCTCGCACAGCTGAGCAAAGCTCACCAAGAACTTTAGATGTTGACAGAGAAAAGCTGATTCAGTACCCGCTTCACGGAAAAAGTTCATGGCGTCTTTGAGTTCTCGACAAGACTGAAGCAGATTCCTCACCGCCCCACGACAAGGTAGTAAGGCTGAATTATGGCGTAAATCTTCCCAGGAGTTGTAGAAGTCAGATTCATCAAGAAATTTCTCCAGCTTATTCTCATTTAAACCAATCTGTTCTACTAATTCTGGCACTTCTCTTGACAGCATTCGTTCCCAGCCGTGACGAATATTCTTCCTATAATCATTATATGACGGTGAAGTAATTAGTAGCCCAGTTCTCCGAGCAAAATCTCCTATAGGCAGTGCAAGAGGTGCAATGTCTTCAACTAATTGGACCGGCAAAGTTGGGGGTCCTTCCATTTCCAATACTCTGATGACCTCACCAACTTTTTCAATAAAAAACTTGGCTTGCAATATCTTGATATTCAGTATTTTGCGTAAGATAGTAGTTAACTCGTCCACCTCCTTCAGCAGACTAACAATTTCATCATCAGCCATGTTTTCCTCTATCAAAGTCAATCCTACCCAATGTAATCAATAGTAAATTAACAAAGAAATCACCTTGATGTGTAGATTTAAACCTTTAACCGGACTGAAATAAGCAAATATGAATGAATAGGAAAAAATAAAAAATAAAAGAGCATAGTAACTTGTAGGAGAAAGCAAAAAAACTGGGGCCTGACAACTATGAATGCAAGAGAGAAGCTACAGCTTACCAGCAGCAGAGGAGGAACGGCCTTTGATGATCGGCATCACGATTGCTAGAAGAAAGCCGGCGATGAGAACTTGTGGTCAACGAAGGATGAAGCAGCCAAGTCTCCCCAACTCCAAGTGCCAAAAGTCTCGTCTTTTTTTTCTTTTCTTCTCAATTTTCTTTGGGGGGACCTCGTTAGTTGACAAAAGTTAAAAATTTAGGAGTCCTCGAACAGTTGGACCGGGCCCTGCTAAGGGAGTAGCATTAGTTGCATTCCTAAAGGAAAAATTTGGCAAGAACTATTACCAAATTCAAGTGGTTTGAATTAATTACTGTAAAATTTACAGTGTAAATAGCATTTGTATCGATTTTTGTGTAAAGAAAAAGACTTAAAAACCAGACAAAAATCAAATAATTTGATTTAGAATTAAAACATCTATCTTCCCAGATATGAAGAGCAATGAATATTAGATCGAGTTAGGTGTTAGAAACTTACTTTTTTTTTTTTTTTTGAGGAATGTTAGAGACTTACTGATGAATGATTTTGAATTATGTCCATAACTCTCATATAATTTACAAAATGGTTTATCACTTCTTGGATGCTTTTCTTCTATAGGCAACAATACAGCAGAATAGTAGAGTTGTAATCGAATCAAACTACTCACATGCTGCTTGCGAGTAACGCGATCAAAAACTCGACTTGATTGAATTCGAGTAGCTCGATTGGGCCAAATAAGTCGAGTTCGAGTATTCGGTAGCAAAACTCAAAAGTTCATCAAACCTTTTCGAGTTTTAAAATTTTAATTTGTTAATATGCTATTATTATGAAATTACTCTTGTACTCATAAGAGTGGTTGAAATTTTTTGAAGGGCGACAATATCTTTTGGCTTAAAATTTGTCAAAAAAAAGAAATCCTCAAATCTTTATGACTCAAGCTCGATAAGGTTCGTTTTGATTTGAACCCATGCGAGTCAAGCTCAAGTTCTATGAGCAATGAAACTCGAGCTCTCCTCCTTGCAAGTCGAGTCGAGTTTCGAGTATGATGATATTGGAGGCTGATTCGATTGGATTACATCCCCAACAGTAAGAGAGCACTGGGAAGTCGCATCGTGGGTCCTCTCTCTCTGGCTGTCAACAATGACTATTATTCAATGGAAAAGCAATGTTTTTAAACTCGGACCGGTCAGCGAATCGGAGAGAGGTCCAGTTCGTGGTCTGATCGGTCCGATCAGCCGATTCACCTGCTTTCTGGTGGTTTTTTTTTTTTTTTTTTGCAACTTAAGTGTTAAGTATTTCACAGGTTTTCATTCTACACTTGAACTTGATACCTAATGTCCAATTTAACATGGTTAGTGATAATTTAAGTTTTTAAAATGCATTCACCAACATAACTAAATTTAAGTTGAGATAATAACAAATTTCCTAAAAGTTATACATAAAACCTGGAATGATAAACATAATTAAAATATCATAATTCACCACAAGTTTTCATAAATTCATTACAAACATGAATAGATACAATCCAAATGTTCATCAATTATCACAAATAAAAACACAAAAATAAATAAAATTAATATTGAAATTCTTTTACAATCTTTAAGAAAAGTCCATCAAAGAGTCTAACTCATATTCAAGACAAACCATTTGAATAACAAACTTCCATCAATGGCATAATAAGTAAAAACACCACATTCACAATTTCATCAACTTAATTTGAAAAAGTTAAAATTTTATTATAAAAATATAAATCTAATTGCTCAAACTAAAAAAAAATCAAAAAATTTAAAAAAAACAAAGATACAACTAAACACATAAAAAATTAATTGCTACTAACCATGTGGTCCTGAGGTTACCATTTACGGATTTACCAAGACATACAAACATGTGGTCCAATTTGGCACTTTTTTTTTTAAGCTTTTGTATGACAACTTTCACAAATCAACTTTAACATGTCTTTAATTTTGTTGCTTTAGTGAAACCTATAAAATTCAAGATGAATGAGCATTCGGTAGACTAATTACTTCAGCCTTAAAAACCAGGCAAAAATCAAATAATTTGATTTAGAGTTAAAACACATATCTTCCCCGATATGAAGAGAAATGAATGCTAGCTCGAGTTAAGTGTTAGAAACTTGCTTGCTTTCTTTCTTTCTTTCTTTTTTTATTTTTTTTATGAATGTTAGAAACTTAATGATAAATGATTTTGAATTATGTCCATAACTCTCATATAATTTACAAAATGGTTTTATCGATTCTTGGATGTTTTTCTAACCACTGAGCTTGGCTCAGTGAATTGGTTGTATGTGAGGGTTCAAAATTTAGCTGCAGCAAAAAAAATTTAAGGATGATGTCAAATCATCCTTTTTTATCTAATAAGATTTGTGTACATACTAATTCCTAATACAAGCCTTTTGGACTCCGCTTCTTTGTAGTTTAAAATAAAATAGGTTACACAATTGTAATTATTTTCGCAAAAAAAATTTCTTGGATGCTTGTCTTCTGTAGGCAGCAAGACAATACAATAGGATAGCATGCGGAAGTCACATCGTGGGTTCTCTCTTTTTGGATTGGGATTCGGATGATTAGCATGTTTGGATTGGGATGATTTGAAAAAAATAATAATAATTTACTTTTCAAATTTCAATATTTTTTTTAATTTTTTAATTATTTTTTTATCTCATATATCTCATATCACAAAAATTGCTACAATAATTATTTCAAATAAACTCCTATTCAAAGGTATGACAAATGGGCCCTCAGCTTTATGATGCACTTTGCACGCATCTCTATATAATGAAGGGATAATTTCATAGATCACTCCTAAGATTTTTAATAATTACAGAGAGTTCCTCTCAAGTTCTAAAAATTATTTTGACCTTCCCTACTTTTATATTTATATACAACAATGTAGGTCCAACAAACTAGATTTTCTTTCAAAAATCCTAAATTACACTTTTCTAACAAAACTAAAAAAGAAAAACATAGTATATTCAATCATTTTCTTCCACACTTTACATAAATTGACAAACCTAATCTCTAGCAACCATCCAATCACAAGTTCCAAATCTAAGTAATTGTCTAAAAGATCTCAAATTGCATATATAACATCAATGCGTATCATACAAAAAAAAAATACAAATACAAAAAATAGGCAAACACACACACGTATCATTGACAGCTAATTTTATATTCTAAAATTAAATCTCAACAGTCAAATACCTTTTCAATACAAGTAAATCTAGCCTAAAACCAACATTACAACTCTCTTATTACCTTAAAAATATTAATATCTCAAAAGTAGATAATAAATTCTACCTTCACAATAAAATCATAGCAAAAAATTTCTAGTCCAATGAAAGTAATTCTTATGCAATTATTGACATTTTACAAATTTGCTTCTTGACAACAAGCAAAATATAACAAATTTCACATCTTTGCTTCTTCTTCCTATTTCAATAATCAATTTTATTATTTATTTCTCTATTACTGCCAGTCTTTTCATTTCCTTCTAGTTTGACACATAATTTGCTTCCTTTGTTAATTTTGCAATTTCAATTTGCTAATATCCATAAAATTGAAGATAACGAAAAAAGGTATAGTAGTATATTAACTAGAAAAAAAAAGAGCAAATGTAGAAAATAGATAGAAAAATAGAATTTTTTGGGTTTTGTAAATCTATTGCTTTAAATTGAGAAGTGTCTACTAAGTGAAGGGTATCTTTGGTACTTTACTATATCAGGGGAAGTAAGTGTAATTTCTTAAACCTGAAGGGAGCCAAGTGAAATTATTTGAAACCTCAAGGGATGTTTTTGAAATTATCCCTATAATGCATAGTAACAACGTGTTCCTTTCCGGTCCCAAGTCAGCAGAAGTGATTAAAGGCAGGAGAAAAGGAAGGAGCCTTGGAGGTTTGGCAAGAATGCCAAGAAAAGCAACTGAACTAAACTAGAATTTGAATCCTTTTTTTTTCGCTTTTCTTTCCCAGTCTTCCCATCCCTATGCATTTCTAGAGTTTTTTCCTTTCCTTTTTCTACTCTTACAACCCATCACTTGTTCATAAAATTCTGTACAGCCTAGTAGGTTTTTTTAAAAATAAAAATAAAAACCATGTTACAATAAAGAAGTCTCGAAAGACGAAACATACAGCGTTCAAGGCATGTATTCTTACATATAATATTAGTGGTACTGTAAGACTAGATTAAAGTGTATTAAAGGTACTCCTCTTAGACTAGCTTATATTATATTAAAGGTACAATTTAAGACTTATTGAATGAGTCGAGCTTAATTGAGTTTTTAGCTTTCAAGTTCAATTCATCAAGTTATCGAGTTAAATTTATTGTAACGAGTCAAAAATTGTGTTCGAGTTTAGCTTATTAAAATTATTTCAAGTTCAAATTTGAGCTCGAACTTAACAAAATGACATAAATAAGTCGAGTTTAAAAGAGCCCAAGCTAAAAAAAAACTCAAATATGTTTGAATACTTTAAACAACATTGCAGCTAAAAAAATATAACTAATTCAATTTGCCCACTGGATGAAAAGATTTCACTGAATATAAGAAGATTTTCAATATGTAAACAAGGGATAATTGTAGAAACCTCCCCTGAGGTTTCTGACACTAGCACTCATCTCCCCTATGATTTCTAAAATTGCACTAACCTCCCCTAGGAGGAAATTGGACCTATTACTAACAATAAATTGTATGATTTTACTTTTATACCATAACTAATTATAGAAACTTAATGAAAGACTTTTAGAAAAGAAAAATTATTTTTTGTCAATAAATTGAGTGACTAATTAAACTAGATTACCTATGAGCTTTAGCATCATTAGCCATTGTAAGCAAAATTAAGGAACGGTGCCAATTAAGAGGAAAAAACGGCGTACATGTTTATTATATATTATGTTATTCAAACCAAACAATTTAAGTCTATTTTTATACAACTATAAAGAGGAAGGCCAATCTGGAGCTTTTACTAAAGTAAGTATAAAAAGAACTTGCACAAATATATCTGTTTAAGTCATTTTTATTTCAAAACCTTTTCTAGTTCAACCTACTACTACTTCTCAAGTTGCTACCCCATTAATATGGTTATAACCCTATAATCTGGAAATATCAGTAGCAGCAGCAGTTGTTTGAGTACGTGGTTCTAATGCATTTACTGTACTTTCATTTACTAAAGACAATTTTATCTTATTAGTATGCACTTCTAATTACTTGTAACTAGGTTTATCTCATACTCAGTAACTTTTAGTGATGTTTAAGTATGCTATTAATTAGCTGATTGTTGAGCGATATTTTATTTTGTATATGATTGGTGCTGACAACATAAACAGTTGTGTTACCCCTACCAATAGCTATTCATATTACTAATAGAGAGATTTAAAAGTAACGTATATTTTTTATAAACTTTGTTGCAAGAACTTGGATATATAGTCATTTAACTAGCATTAGTATCCACGTTGTTTCATGTATTGTTGGTAAATCTCATTCAATTGCACTTACACCCCTTGAATTTTGCTAATTCTTAATAGCTTTTCGTATTTTGTCATTACTCTGTTAATATAACTTGGCAAGCAGCATGAAAGGCAAATCTGGTACGAATTTTTCATCTCAGGCCTTAAAAAAAATTTATAATGTTGATTTTTCTGGCATGAACTGAATCTGCAACACAAACCTTAAGTTCAAGGGTGCTAAGTGTTATTTTCTGAATCACAAGGGCAGTGAATGCTAGTATTAGAAATCTCCCATGAGGTTTCTGCAATTATCCCTTTAAACAATCAAGACAAGATAAATCTATATAATTACTAAAAAAAAAAAGAAAGTAAAACTAGAGGTTGAATGACTGTACAAATGAATCTAGACGGATGACTCAGACTTGCGTCGGTGTATTTAATTCAACGAACCAGGAGCTCACGAGGTGCGCACAGGTCTTTCCACTACCATTTGTCTGGTCAACTTTTTTCAGCCTTGAAGCTACGCAACGCGCTTTTAGGCTGCCCCACCACCTTGACAATGAGCCTTTTTAGAATATATGCCTTTTTTGTTAGTTTCGTTGGCATTTTATAAATACAGGAAAAAAGAAAAAGACATAAAAACCGGATATGAAGAGAAATTAATATTAATTTTCTATTTTTTTTGTCGAGGAATGTTAGAATCTTATTGATGAATGATTTTGAATTATGCCCATAATTATATCTCATAGTATACATAATTTACAAAATGGGTTTATCAATTCTTGGATGCTTTTCTTCTATCGGGAGCAAAGCAATACAATAGGACAGCACATGGAAGTCACGTCGTGGTTTCTCTCTTTCTTTCCACCTGCCGGCCGACAATGACTATTATTCAATGGAAATGGTGGGGGCCTCTGATTTGTGAAGGACTTTGCCGACATCTCTATATAATGAATATGACAAAGCATTCCTCTCTGGCCTCGAGTCGGCAGAAGTGATCAGGGGTAGGAGGAAAGGAAGATGCCTTGGAAAATCCAGAGGAAATGTGAGGTTTGGCAAGAAAAGCAGCTAAAATAAACTAGAATATGAATAATCCTTGTTGTTTTTAACTCGGCTTTTCTTTCCCAGTCCTCCCATTCCTATGAGTTTCTAGAGTTTCTTCCTTTCCTTTTTCTACTCTTACTACACCCCATCACTTGTTCATAAAATTCTGTGCAGGAATTCATAAAAGAGAGAGAGTAGTCGATGATCACATTTGTATCGCAAGAAGAGGAGGAATGAGAGGGAAAGGGAGCTTAATCTTCAGGAAATTGGTGGGGTGGGAGACTGGGGAAGATTTGAGGTAAATCTTTGGTTCTTTTATGTTTTGAGCGATCAAATCTTGATCTAACCCAGTCTTCCACCCCAGTGATTTTCTGTGGATTCTCCTCTTCCACAACTTATTCTACAGGCTCAGATCTCTCTCGGATTCAGAACTTAGTAATTGCTTACTAAGTCATAAGGTAGTGGGCTCTCTTTGCTCTGCTTTCTTGTCCGTTGATCAATAATTACTTCTTAGTAGAAGTAGTTTTATGCTGCTTAGATATGTTTTATGCAAAACTTTTGATCATCATATTTCCTGGCCATGGATCTAGCCGAAAAGGGCTGTGGAGGCTTGGATCTTGGGGATACTCATTCTAAAATCTGGAAATGGGTTCACCATGCAACCAAACATGATCTTTTATGTGACTTGCCACCATGAGTATAGGGATAATAATGAAAATTCTGCATCCTAGAACATTGGAATCTCCTAGCTCATTAGACATGGAACAGATGAGTTAGATACCATAGCACCAACTGAAGAAATTAATTAAAACAAAAAACCAATAATATGTCCTATCTTTTATCTCCAAAAAATTTTAGAAGGGCACTGTTCCACAATTGATTTATGATATCCTGTACCAGCCTACCAGGGACTAAGGGCTCCTCCTCTGCATGATTGAGGAAGTTGCAACTTTTACATTCTACTGAATCTAGATGTGATCTCTCATCAGATCAAAGGAGCACTACAAGGATTGCATAAAATAACTGAAGCCCGATAAGATTTTGTCAACTTTATTTGGTGGCTTTTGTTTTTGTTTTTGTTTTTTTTTGAATGGTATAGAAGCATTACTGGTTTTTTTTTGTTTTGTTTTGTTTTGTTTTGTTTTTAGGGTGGGCCGCGGGGAGGGGGGGGGTTGTTGTTGTTGTTGTTGGATCTTTCTAGGATCAATCTGCAAAACAGCAGAGGTATCAAACACTTAACCTGAGCTTGATGATCAAATGGGCATGTGAAACGAGAAAATCCAGTTAATCCGCAATCCTTTCTCATCTGTTTTTGAAGACAATAAAATAAACTATTAACACAGTCAATGAATTTGGGTTTGGTTTTGATGGAAGACAGAAATGGAAATCTAAGCCAAGATTAACGACAATAACACGTTTTGGTTCTCAACAATTAGATTACCGCAAAACGACCCAATCTGGAATGAAATTAGTTAACTGAAATAAATTTGTTCTTGCATTGTGTGCCAACGTTCACATATAGTTTATCAAGATGTGAAGCACTCGGTTTGGTCCGGAAGATCAAGATCCTGTAAGATGGAGCCGCCTTCTAGGCTTGCATCCGGAGACTAAAACCTGGCCAAGAAAAACAATGTACTTGTTTGTACCGTGAATTATTAGAGATATTTTTATTGTAGCATTTTTTGTGATGTGATGTATGTGAGATAAAAAGATAATTGAAAAAATAAAAAGGTGTGTTAAAAATTGTAATGATGATGTAAGTAAATATATTTTGATAAATAAATTGTAATTCAAAAAAATTAAATTGTGATTTATTTGTATTAATGACATGACTACGAAATTTTTTGACATCTTCAATAATTTGTATTACCAAATTCTGATGCAACCTAGGGAACCAAAACCTGCATCAAAGAGATGCACAGGAATGGTTACCTGGTTTAAGGGTTTCCAGCTAACATGGATTTCAAATAGAGAATTCTTTACTGCGTAGTTCCTGGTCTGGGAATATATGCGTTCTTAAGGGTCTGTTTGGTTGGAAGTAAAATGTTTTCCTTGGTAAAATATTTTCCGTGGAAGTAATTTTTCATGAAAATCATTTCCCTTTCATCATTTTCATGTGTTTGGTTAGCTTATTGAAAATATTTTCTTACTTCATTTTTCTGGTGTTTGTTTAACTTTTGAAATATTTTCACTTTTATCTCTATATTTACTTTCTACACATTAATTATAACTACATACTTCTTCCCATGCAAAATAAGAAAATTTATCTCATTGTTTAACTTTAAAAAATCTTGGAGAAATGTATATATGAATAAAAAATATCTCCTTAAGCAATAAACAAATTGCTGGCCATTTAGTATCAAATATCAATCACATGCAATGCTTATTGTGACATATATCTTGCACTCTCACTGCTGGAAGTTTCTCTAGAAAAGAATGTCTCTATTATACATAATTAATTACTAGTATAGGATGAGAATGATGAGGTTTTTTTTTTTATTTTGAATATACTAGGGGGAGGGTTGGGTTGGGTGGTACGGGGGAGGGAGTGAAAGGAAGAGGTCTTGGGTTCGAATCCTCCTATTTACACTAAAAAAAAAAAGAACATACTACAAGATGTTTTCAGTAAATTTGGAACATACTACAGGCGGGATGCATGCATTTCGGAAAACAACTTCAGTAAGTTTGGAAGGGAAGTTGTTTTCCATAAGATGAATGAAAATATTTTACATAGGAAAATGTTTTCAGTAACTTTTGTGCAACCAAACACGGGAAATTAGGAAAATATTTTTCTGAAAAACATTTTCACCCGAAACAAACGGACCCTAAGTGTCCATCATAAAGCATTTCCGTTTGCATTAGTATATCACAAGGACATTTTGCAGTAAGTATCTTGAAACTATTCTACCAAAAGAAAATAATAATAAATAATATTAACTTTTGTACCTATTCTAAATGCACGCCGCTTTCTTTTCCTGGAAAATGCATAATAAAGTAACCATATGTATTCTTTTTAACACGCACGAGTCTACATGGGTATCTGCTGGTAAATTAAATACACTGCAAGGCTTCAACAATTGAAAATCGGGGAAGATTAATCTCTTGGAGAGCACAAAGCTGTGCTGATTATGCATTGCTGTTTATGCAGTTGCATTCTCTAGAAAACTAAGATCAACGAGAACAGACGCCGGATTATGGGATTTACCGGGAAAGAGGAGTAGAATTTCACCGTAAAGTAGAGCAGTGAAGGGAGAGTAGGATTTCACCATGAAACAGAGTATAAAGGCTTTAAAAAAAGTGTTTCTAAACCCAAAAGCATTTAATTACTAAAACACAAGGGAACCCAAAATATTTATTCAATGATCTAAAGGTCAAAATAACTCATTAAAAGCTCTCTTAGTGGTTTGGTGAGCAACGGGCCAAAATCATGAATATAGTAGTCTTGTTTCAACTTTTTCACAAAATCCTCTGCGAGCTATTTCTCCATTCCCGGTAGCAGCAGCGCACACATTCATGAGTTATTTCTCCATTCGCTGCTGCAGTGGCGCGGGATCGAGTGACAATCATCCGGAATGATGTAAAGATTTTTTGAACGAGTTATAAATCATATTAAATAAATTGTACATCTTTATAATTGAGATGCAACATTCTATTATTTTTTTATGTAGATCTATGCATGATAATTACACGTCCGTCTGTTGTAAAAATGTATAAGTAATTTAATTTAAATTACAATCCATTCAAAAATTCGTATAACGTTCCGGACGGTTGTCAGTGCGGTTGTCGCTAACAACTGTCCGTGCCCTCGCCCTCACTCGTGCGTACTTTCTCATTCTATTAACATAGAGTGTTATCATTGTCGGAACCAGTGTTTTGAAAACCGGACCGGACCGGCCGGTTCGACCGGTCGAACCGCGAGCCGGCCATGGCTCCGGTCCGGTTCACTGCCAGGTTTGACTTTGTCAAGAAACCGGTCAAAAACCGGTCGGACCGCGAAACCGCTGAACCGGACATGAACCGGTTTTTTCCGGTTTTTGAGTTTTCATCTTTTTTTTTTTTTTTTTTTTTTTTTTTTTGCAAAATGTAGTTATCAAGATTCGAACTCAAGACCTTTGTAATAGAATACCAATGTAGTAACCGTTGCACTATCACATCTTATTAGTTTTTTTTGATAACTTATTTATATAAAACAAACACTCATATTTCTTTTGTTCCATTTTTTTTACAAAATATTATCCTTTCATGACTCTTTCTTTTTAATTTTCAACACACACACACACACACACACTCTCTCTCTCTCTCTATCATCTTTTCTTTTGCCACTCATTTTTTAATCAAATCTCTTTATTTTTAATTTATTGATGTTTTCTTCCATATTTTAATTTTGTTTTTGTCCATTAAATTTAAAAAAGTTAAAAAAGAATTATTTTTCTTTAACCCAAATTATTTAATACCACAACCACTCACTTTTATCTCATTTTTTGTTTCTTATCAAATTTGCATTTCTATTTTCAATTCTCTTGATTTTCTTCGAACTCCAAACTTCCTTTTTTAAATTATAAATTTAAATTCCAAAATGTAAATTAAAATTTAAATTCACAATGTCTAAATTCTCATAGACGTGAATTTTGTATAATTTCAAATATTGTGATATTTTTGGATTATATTTAAGATTTTTTTGGTAGATATAATTGAAATTGAGATGAAATTTATTTGTTTTAACTTATAATTTAAAAAATTTATTTTTAAAAATCCAAGTTATTCAAAAATAATAAACTTTTCATCATATAAAGTATTAAATTATCCATTACATGTTTTATTTTGTGCACATATATATTTATATAAATTATTTTTTAAAAAATTTATTGAACCGAGGTTGAACCGGTCCGACCGATTGAACCTCGACCCTTTCACTTCACCGGTTCGATTAACGGTCCGGTTTTTAAAACATTGGTCGGAACTCGACGCATAACCAGTCTTGTACCAGAGCTAACGCTAATAACTCTTCTTCTTTTTCCTAAAAAAACACGTAGATGACTAACCTGTTTGCTAGGTCTGATACAAGACCTATCACTGAGTGTGTTTGGACAGCCAATTATTTGGCCAAATATATTTGCTGACATCACCATTACAATTTCCAATACACCTTTTTATCTTCCCAATTACCTTTTTATCTCACATACATCACATCACAAAAAGTGCTACAGTAAAAATATTTCAAATAACTTACAATCCAAACACACTCACTATTATCACCAGACCTAATACTAATAACTCTTCTTTTTCCTCTAAAAGCACGTAGATAATTAACCTGTTTGTCAGGCCTGGTATCACTACTACTAACTCTTCTTCTTTTTCTTGCTTCAATTAAGGGAAAAGCACGTAGATAATACGTGCTAGGCAGTGAAGGAAGATCTTCTCTAGCAAACTTCTCACGAATCATAGACAGTGAAGGAAAACCATTTCTTCCAGATGAAGCGTTATGTGATTGAGGATCTTCCCTGCCAAGTTTCCCACCAGTCGTATCAATCTCTACTGCGAAGGAATGAAGCAATCTTAAAGTCTCCAACAAAACAAATCGCTTGCCATGTTTCCCATAAAAAAATCTCTTGGCTTGCTCGTCATCGTCAGAACTAATTGTCGTCTTGACCATCCTCAAATGGGAACTATGCGCCGGTACGCATTTAGCTGAAGCACATCTGTCTGTTTGATAATACTTCGCCATTACGTAACGACTATATTTGTCTGCACAGTTCAGCGCACCAAGAGCTTCGTTAGCAACATCCCTGATGCCTTTCACAAATTGGCGACAACGCCATTCATTAGAACGCTCGCCCAGCTCAGCAAAGCTCAGCAAGAACTTTAGATGTTGGCAGAGAAAAGCTGATTCAGTACCCACTTCATGAAAAAAGTTCACGGCGTCTCTGAGTTCTCGACAAGACTGGAGCAGATCCCTCACCGCCACACGATAAGGTAGCAAGGCTAAATTGTGGCGTAAATCTTTCCAGGAGTTGTAGTAGTCAGATTCATCAAGAAATTTCTCCAGCTTATTCTCATTTAAACCAATCTGTTCTACTAATTCTCGCACTTCACTTGATAATTTTCGTCCCCAGCACTGATGAATGTTCATCATATACTCACCATTTGACGATGAATTTAGTAGCTCAGTTCTCTGAACAAAATCTCCTATAGGCAGCGCAAGAGTTGCAATATCTTTTTCTAATTGGTCCGGCAAAGTTGGGGGTCCTTCCATTTCCAATACTCCGATGACCTCACCAATTTTTTCAATAACTAACTTAGCTTGCAATGTCTTTATATTCAGTAGTTTGTGTAGGATAATAACTAATTTGTCCACCTGCTTCACCAGACTAACAATTTCATCATCAGCCATCTTTCCTTCTGTCAAAGTCAATCCTACCCAATGTAATCAACAGTAAATTAATAAAGAAATCGCCTTGATGTTTGGATTTAAAGCTGTAACCTGACTGAAATAAGTAAATATGAATGAATCGGAAATAATAAAAAAATAAAAAGAGCATACTAACATGTAGGAGAAAGCCAAAAAAAAAAAAAGAAAAAAACTGGGGCCTGACAACTATGAATGCGAGAGAGAAGCTGCACAGCTTACCAGCAGCAGAGGCGAAAAGGCCTTTGATGATCGGAATCACGATTGCTAGAAGAAAGCCTGCGATGAGAACTTGTGGTCAACGAAGATGAAGCAGCCAAGTCGGCCCAAGTGCCAAAAGTCTTGTCGTTGATTTCTTCTCAATTTTCTTGAAAAAGTTGAATATTTAGGAGTCCTAGAACAGTTGGACCTGCATTAGTTGCATTCATGAAGGAACCATTTGGCAAGAACTATTACTAATTCCAAGTAGTTTGAATTAGTTACTGTAAAAAGCATTTGTATCGATTTTTGTGTAAAGAAAAAACTTAAAAACCAGCCAAAAATCAAATAATTTGATTTAGAACTAAAACACCTATCTTCCCAGATATGAAGAGAAATGAATATTAGCTCGAGTTAAGTGTTAGAAACTCATCTTCTTTCTTTTATCACTCAGGAGCCGTGTGGGATGAAAGTCTCATGCACGGTTTTGAATGAGAGAAAGAAGTGATGAATCTCTTTTCAACTCTAACTCTTCTGCTCCTGTCATTACTTTTCTTTCTGTTACTTTGAAAGTAGCTGTTTCAGCTTCAGCCATTCAAATTTTTGATATTCCTTTTTATTTCTCATCAAACGGATGGTTCATCACTTCTTGGATGCTTTTCTTCTGTAGGCAGCAGCACGATACAGTTGTAGGATGGTCCACCAGAGTTTGAGTAGCTCAATAGGGCCAAATCAATTGAATTTGTGTATCTGGTAGCACGACTCGAAAGTCGAAAGCTCGTCAAATCTTGTCAAAATTTTAATATATTATTATTATGAAATTATCTTTGTACTCATATGAGTTGCTGAATTTACAAAATGTTTTAGATTGTGTGAAATTTTTTGAAAGACGATAATATATTTTCGCCTAAGATTTGTCAAGAAAAATAAAATCCTCATATCTTTTTGACTCAAGCTTGATAAAGTTCGTTTTGACTCGAGTCCTTACCAGTCGAATTCGAGATCTATGAACAATAGAGGTCGAGGTCTCCTTTCTGCAAGTTGGGTCAATCGCGAATATGATGATACTCGAACCAATTCGATTCGATTAGATCTCTAATAGTGGGAGTCCACAGATGAGTGGCACCGTGGGTTCTCCCATTCTACCTGTCAACAATGGCTATTATTCAATGGACAAGGTGGCGACAGATGGGGGCCTCTGCTTTATGAAGCACTTTGCAGACATCCTTATATAATGAAGGGATAATTTCACAAACCTACCTTAAGATTTTTAATAATTACAAAGACTTCCCTCAAATTTTAAAAATTACATATATCTTCCCTATTTTTATATTTATATAACAATGTATGTCCAACAAACTAGATTTTTCTCTCAAAAATTCTAAATTACCCTTTTCTAACAAAACTAAGAAAGAAAAACATAGTCTATTTAATTATTTTCTTTCACACTTTGCATAAATCGATAAACCTAATCCTTAACAACCATCTAACCATAGTCCAAAAGATCTCAAATTGCATGTACAACATCAATGCTTATCATACAAAAAAATAAAAATAAAAATACAAAAAATACACCAACACACACACATACCATTGACAACTAATTTTATACTCCAAATTAAATTTCAACACTCAAATACTTTTTCAATACAAGTTAATCTTGCATAAAACCATCATTACAACTCTCTTATTATCTTAAAAATATTAATATCTCAAAAGTAGTTAATAAATTCTACCTCCACAATAAAATCATAGCAAAAAATTTCTAATCCAATAAAAGAAATCATTATGCAATTATTGACATTTCACAAAAATTTTTCTTTACAACAAGCAAAATATGACAAATTCCATATCTTTACTTCTTCTTCTTATTTCAACAATCAATTTCATTATTAATTTTTCTATTACTGTGAGTCTGTTCATTTTCTTCTAGTTTGACACATAATTTACTCCCTTCGTTAATTTTGCAATTTCAATTTGCTAATATCCATAAAATTGAAGATAATAAAAAGGATATAGTACTACATTAACTAGAAAAGAAATAAACAAAAATAGACAAGAGATAGAAAAAATAGAATTTTTTGGGTTTTGTAAATCTATTGCTTTAAATTGAGAATTGTCTACCAAGTGAAGGGCATTTTTGATACTTTATTATATTAGGGGAAGTAAGTGTAATTTTTTAAATCTGAAGGGAATCAAGTGAAATTATTTGAAACCTCAAGGGAGGTTTCTGAAATTATCCCTATAATGAATAGTAACAACGTATTCCTTTCCGGTCCCAAGTCAGCAGAAGTGATTAAGGCTAGGAGAAAAAGAAGAACTGAAGAAGGATTGGAGGCTTGGCAAGAATGCCAAGAAAAGCAACCAAACTAAACTAGATTTGAATCTTTTTTTTTTTTTTTGCTTTTCTTTTCCATTCCTCCCATTCCTATGGGTTTCTAGAGTTTTTTCCTTTCTTTTTTCTACTCTTTACAAACCCATCACTTATTCATAAAATTCAGTGCAAAAAGAGAAAAAAAAAAAAGTAGTAGTCGATGAACTTTTTCGTATAGCAAGAAGAGGAATAAGAGGGAAATGGAGCTGAATCTTCAGGAAATTAACGGGATGGGTGACTGGGAAAGGTTCGGGGTAAATCTTTGGTCACTTCTTTTGAGCGATCAAATCTTGATCTTCCCTAGTCCTCCCATCCTGGTGATTTCCCATGGATTCTCCTCTTCCACCACTTATTCTATGGACTCAGATCTCTTGGGTTCATAAGGTAGTAGGCTCCCTTTGCTCTGCCTTCTTGTCCCTTGATCAATTACTACTTGGTAGTAGTAATTGATCATTAGATATGTTTAATGCAAAACTTTCTCATCATCATATTTCCTGACCATGGTTCTAGCCGAAAAGGGAGATGGAGGCTTGGATCTTGGGGATACTCATTCTAAAATTTGGAATATGTCGCCATTCAAACAAACACGATCTTCTATGTGACTTGCCACCATGAGTATAGACGTCTAAAAAACAAAAACCAATATGTCCTACTTTTTTCCCTCAAAAGTTTAGAAAGGGATTGCTCCAGAATTGTATTTATGATCTCCTGTACCAGCCTATCAGGGCCCAGTGGCTCCTCCTCTGCATAATTGAGGAAGTTGCAACTTTTACATTCTACTGATTCTGGACGTGATTTCTCATCAGATCAAAGGAGCACTATAAGGATTGTATAAATAACTGAAGAAGAGGCAAAAATAACCGAAGCGGGATAAGATTTTGTCGACTTTAAATTGGTGTAGAAGCATTACTGGTTGGTACTGTTGGGGGTGGATCTTTTTAGGAAGGCGTATGTGGCCAATTTGCAAAACAGCAGCGATATCAAACAGTAAACGTGAGCTTGATGCTCAAATGGGGATATGAAACGAGAAAATCCAGTTAATCCGCAATCCTTTCTCATCTGTTTTTGAAGACAATAAAACAAACTATTAACACATTCAACGAATTTGGCTTTGGTTTTGATGGAAGACAGAAATGGAAATCTAAGCCAAGATTAACAACAATAACAGGTTTGTACACTTCACTTTGAAGTGGTGGTTTATCACGATAAAGTTTGTGAAGGAAGTACTCCAATTGATTTCATTTTCCTTTTTGTTTACACAATTCAGATGCAGATATTATCTGGGCTGTCTAAGGGAAGTGGAAACTACATGTTTTGTCCAGAATAATTCAAATTAGAAAAGAAAAAAAGAGAGGACCATGTTTCTGGCCCTCCTATTTTTAACCTTCAAGTACTCCACTCTTAATTTTAGCTAATCAAAATGACTTTAACACTTCCAAATTTGGTTCTCTAACAATTAGATAACCACAAAACTACCCAATCCCGAATGAAATTAGTTAACTCAAATAAATTTTTTCTTGCATTGTTTTCCAACGTTCACACAGTTCATCAAGATGGGAAGCACTTGGTTTGGCCTGGAAGATCAAGATCCTGTAAGATGGACACGCTTTCTAGGCTTGCGTCCGGAGACTAAACTTGGCCAAGAAAAACACATATTCTTGCCCAACTAAATGTTTATATGACCACGAAAATTTTTAACATCCTCATATATTATTACCAATTCTGATGCAACCCCAGGGAACCAAAACCTGCATGAAAGAGATACACAGGAATAGTTACCTAATTTGAGGATTTCAAGCTAACATGGATTTCAAATAGAAAATTCTATACTGCGTAGTTCTTGGTCTGTGAATATATGCGTTCTTAGTGTTCATCATAAAGCATTTCTGTTTTCTTGTAGAAACAAATTTTAACAAGGTGTTGCATTTGCTTTGGCATACCACACTAAGTATCTTGAAACTATTTTACCAAAAGAAAATAATAATAATAATGAAAACCTTGAAACTGCGATGAGGAATCAGGACAGTACATAAAGGTTTAATTAACATTTGTACTTGTTCTAAACGCACACCGCTATCTTTTACTGGAAAATGTATAATAAAGTAACCTGCATAGGTATGTGCTGGTAAATTAAATACCCTGCAAGGCTTCAACAAATGAAAATCGGGGAAGATTAATCTCTTGGACAGTACAAAGCTGTGCAGCTGATCATGTTCTGCAATGCATTGCCATCTATGTATCTGCATTCTTTAGAAAACTATTAACTCTTCTTCTTCTTCTTCGTTCAATTAAAGGAAAAGCACGTAGATAATATGTGATAGGCAGTGAAGGAAGATCTCCTCTAGCAAATTTTTCGCAAATCATAGACAGTGAAGGAAAACCATTTCTTCCAAATGAAGCGTTATGCGATTGAGGATCTTCCCTGCCAAGTTTCCCACGAGTCATATCGATCTCTTCTGTGAAGGAATGGAGCATTCCTAAAGTCTCCAACAAAACTAATCGCTTGCCATTTTTCCCATCAAGAAATTTCTTGGCCGTCTTCTCGATACAGTATTCCTTTTCAGCTGAAGCAAATTCATATGATTCAAAACTCCATAGCTCACATCCTTCAAATTTCGACATTGCTGACCCAAGACCATATTTTTCTGCACATTCCAGCGCATCAAGAGCTTCGTTAGCAACATCCATGATACCTTTCACAAATTGGCGACAATGCCATTCATTAGAACGCTCGCACAGCTCAGCAAAGCTCAGCAAGAACTTTAGATGTTGGCTGAGAAAAGCTGACTCAGTACCCACTTCACGGAAAAAGTTCATAGCGTCTTTGAGTTCTCGACAAGACTGAAGCAGATCCCTCACCGCCTCACGACAAGGTAGTAAGGCTACATTGTGGCGTAAATCTTCCCAGTAGTTGTAGAAGTCAGATTCACCAAGAAATTTCTCCAGCTTATTCTCATTTAAACCCATCTGTTCCACCAATTCTCGCACTTCTTTTGGTAATTTTCTTCCCCAGCCGTCATGAAAGTTCATTGCATACTCACCAATTGACGGTAAATCTAGTAGCCCAGTTCTCCGAACAAAATCTCTTATAGGCAGCGCAAGAGGTGCAACATCTTCTAGTAATTGGTCCGGCAAAGTTGGGGGTCCTTCCATTTCCAATACTCTGATGACCTCACCAACTTTTTCAATAAATAACTTGGCTTGCAATATCTTTATATTCAGTATTTTGTGCAGGATAAAAATTAATTTGTCCACCATCACCAACAGACTAACAACTTCATCATTAGCCATCTTTCCCTCTGTCAATTCTACCTGATGTAATCAATTGTAAATTAACAAAGAAATCACTTTGATGTTTGGACTTAAACCTTTAACGGGACTGTTGTAAGTAAATAGGAATGAATCCCACCTATAGCTCCAAGATAGGAGTATAAAAAAGAAAAGAAAAGAAAAGAACGTGCTAACATCTAGGACAAGCATAAAAACTAGGGCCTGACAACATTGAATGAGAGAAAGAAGCTACAACTTACCAGCAGCTGAGAAATAAAGGGCCTTTGATGATCGGAATCACGATTGTTAGAGGAAAGCTGGGGATGAGAACCTGTGGTCAACGAAGATGAAGCAGCCAAGTAGCCCCAAGTGCCAAAAGTCTTGTCCTTGACTTCTTCTCCATTTCCTTGAGGGGACATATAGTTGAAAAAAGTTTGAATATTCAAGTCCTAGAACAGTTGGACCTGGTCCTACTAAGGGAGTAGTATAGTTGCATTAGTTGCATTCCTAAAGGAACAATTTGGCAAGAACTGTTACTAAATCCTAGCAGTTTGAATTAGTTACCGTAAATAGCATTTGTATCGATTTTTGTGTAAATTATAAACCATCATTTTTTTCTGTTCAAACTTCAAAGTAAGTGAAACTGTGAAGGTATGGCCCTTTTTCTCCCTTTTTTTTCCCTCTCTTTTTTCTCCTGAGCTGGTGGTACACAATTCATATAAGAGAAATTGATCTTCGTAAATATGAACTGTTCAACTTCCGTTTCAAAGCGCTTGAATTTTGTGGGATCCTTTGATCGTCAGATGCTGGAGCTCTAAGTTTACTAATTCCAGTTAGTGACTGAATCCGAAACAAAATTATAGAAGGAAAATACAAATGATCAGGTGCATATTCCCGTTCGAAATCCCTTGTATAATTCTTCTAAAGTGCATATTCATATAACCAGGTGCTCTAGAAAGCAGTGAACATTTTCCACAGAAATCTCGAGCCTGGAATTGCTTAATTTGGAAGCACAGTAGATGCTACAGCGTTTACAAAAGAGAAGCAATGGCATAAGCCACCCATACTAACTGGACATACAAGTATTGCAAACTGAAAATATGGAGCTTGTTATTTCTGTCCACCTTCGTTTTCCTGAATGATGTTGATTGTTAAGCTGATACAACATTTCTCAAAGCTGAATATTGCAAGCCAACTTCTAAGCCGAAGTTTGTTTCTGTTTCCTATTTCTCTTTCTTGATCCTGAACCCTGGTTGAGATGTGTAGGTTTTCACTGCAGATTTGGGGTACTAGAATAGAACTAACTCGTAACAACAACTCAAATCTGTTTGTCTTTTTCATTATTCGACTAGAGGCTTATCTCTCTTCTGAATTCATATCAAACTAGTTCAGATTTTATATGTAAGCATATTATTCATTCCTTACAACTGAAGGCTAATTCTTTAGGGGGAAATAATGGTTCTGCTTAATTTCCATAGAAGTACTAAGACATACTGTAAACAATCAATTCTAATCAGGAACGTACTGAGAACAGAAATGAGCATAAAAAGGGGTACCATAATATTAATCATCAAGAACAGACTAGGCTAGATTAGATGCTCCCAAGTCACAAGAATGGGTTTTGATAGCCACCTAGCTCAGCAAGCTTCTTTTTACCGTCTTTGCTTTCCTCTGGGCTACTGAATTGTGCTACTGACCTGCATTTGACTCTGGCTTTTTAACAGAACAGAGCTGCACGTCATACTAGCTATAATAGATACCATCAGATGGATCATCAAGATGGATTTAATCCTATTGGAGCAGTGTTAGGACAACAAAGTCAGAGGGTGGGGTTCCTCAACCGATCCAGTGTTAAACAAGAGCTAGTTATAAACATCAAATGGGAAATCAAGTAGTCGAAATTAAAAAGGATAGAAGGTGTTGAATCAAGTATTCAAATTTCAATGAACTAGCTATCTAGTCCCAAAACCACAGGTTACTCGATATGCAAAGCTAGGGTCCCCTATGAGAAGAGATGCTTCTGTTCAGATTGTACTTTCATGAAGGGATATTGGTACCAACATCTCTTCACCATTAAGGTTCTCCTTCCTTTGGCCAAATTAAATATTTTGACACTGTCTAACAGACAGCATACTGGTGGACTGCATTTCAGCCCCATTATTAAAGGGTAATAGTAAAGTGCTTAGAAGGAAAACTCATCAGACAAAAGTGAAACTGGATGCATTTCTGAAGCAATTTTTCACTGGATAGATGGAGAAATTTTATTAAAACATTCTATTGCTTAAAATTTAATAGTATAATACACAGAAAACATGAGCTGAGCCAACATACAATGTCTACCATCAGTAACTTCTTTACAGAAGAAAGGATTACATCCAATAAATAGGAACATACACAAAGATTATTATTGCAAAGCTTCTTGTGAGAGGAATTCATGACATCCATGTTAACAGTCATGAAACTCATCTGAACCATAATAGATAATCAAGCAGGACATCAACATAGTACTACTGAAACAGGCATCAAGAAAACGTAGAATGGGAGGACCAACTTGTCAAATCCTAACTGAAGACTAAAACCATGAATATGCATTTGGCAGTCACAGCACATTTGCCACATGAGAGAGAAGTCTTACAAATGGTTATTTGGAAAGAAAGTTGGAAACAAAGAAGTTGTAAACATTGGATATTAAGAGAGAGAAGTGAAAGCACTCCTTATGCAGAGTCTGGATTCCTGTTACAAAAAGGGGAAGAAAAATAAGTAGCTTCATAGACAGAAGGAAAGAAAAGAATGCCATTAGCAATATTAGGCGCAGGAAAAGACATAACTACTCGAATCTCATACATAAACCATTTGAATCAAAGTGCTTCCGTCTTAACTGAAGTTCAAATGACAGGTTGTCAGCCTGTGCAATAATAAAACCTGTTCAAACTAAAAGTAATTTCTATAGATAGCGGTGAGTAGGGTCTGTTGGTTCTAGACCAAATTAATCATATAAGTAATAGTAATTTCTTTGGTAAAAATTTAACAAAGAAATTCACAAAATCTCATACCTCAATATTGCATTAACAAATGCAAATAATTTGTACCATCAAAGTTATTTTGGCATTGGTTGATGCGCAAACTAGATCTTAAAATTATTGGATGAACAGCTTCTGATCTTCAATCCGACCACCTTGAATTGACAGCTACTAAAAAGTTCGGTAGGGCTGAGGCGCGTTAAACGCTCTCTTTAAGACGATACGCGCCCCTACGGTATTTTTTAAACCGATGCAAAAGGTCTAGCGCGCCGCCTCCAGGATACAACAACCCAACTCTATAGTTGTTGCTTCCCTTTGATCTGCACAACCAAGAGAAGCAGAAGCTTCCCAATATCTTACTTTGCCCAAAAAAAATAGAATGAGAGAGAAAGAAATGAGTGTGAGGAAAATAGTATTTAGAATGATTTTTTGTTGAGAGAAGTGTATATATAAATTCTCCAAAGAATTTCACTATTTATAAGCTACAAAACCTTAAGAAAAAGGGGTTGAAAATGTGTAACGGTTTTTTCATATTAAATTGTAGTCAATTGGTAGAATTTGTAACCTAAAAAATTAATCCACATTTGAATGGGTTATAAAGACTCAATTAAATCCTCATTTGAACAAATAATTCATTTGTAACTCTAATTCAAATAATTGTATAATAACTCCATTTAAAATGCATTGTAACTCCCACAATTATAATTCCCATAACTCCCAAATAAATTATTATAACTCCTAGTAATGAAACTCCCACAATTATAATTCAAATAATTTCCAAATGAATTATTATAACTCCTTGTAAAGATTTGGTCAAGGAAAAAATTAAGATTTTATTAAAATACACCAACATTCCCCCACTTATTTTAATAAAATTTGAGAAGAATAAAGATTTGGACAAAGTGAGAACATCATGCATAATGAAAGTGACATTGCCTTGAAACCTTCATTTAGTGTTTCCATAATCTCCATATTAGAGTCAAAGTGGACTATAGCCTTGAAACTAAGACTACTTTAAGATATGTAGGATTATGTCACACGCATGATATTCAAGATATTAATTAACAAGCTTCTTAAGCCAGCACATTACGGCCTTGTGCTTTATCCCAGATTCATGAGTGCTTTAGAGAATTAGCCAAATTCTCATAGAAAGCGGCCTTTACTTCCACACTCACATAGGTGAGTCTATCAAGAATACCCCTATGACTAAGGCATTCCACCCATAAAGGGCTATAGAACTCATTAAAAGATTTATATCAAATCTTAACTTTTCCTTCGTCATAGAATCACGAGCATGCTCTACACCATAGGAAGGGATTTAACAATTTTATAATATATGCATGCTTTTCACCCAAACCATTCTATGATTCGTTTATCTCAGACCTAGTTCTTGGGATCTCCAGTCCCTAGGCAGTTGTATCCTCATAGATGGTTCCAATTTAAAATTTTGGCCTCAAGTCCCATTCCCCTTGATGTGTATCATATCTTTGACTCAAGCTTGAGATTTTACACAATAAAATAGCAAAGATATGATATCTCCGAATTTATTTTAAAATAATCTCTCTTAGTGGTTCAGATATATTGAACCAATCTTTGGTGAGAAAATTTCTCATCCATTTATATTTGCCAAATAATATAGGCATATATTTGCTCATATTCAATTTTTCAATTTTATCTCAATGGGCAGTAATCTAGTAGTGCACTAGAAACCATTCTCAAAATCTTCATGGTTAATTTTGCTTTTGCAAAAAATACCAAGAAAATATTTCGAATACCTTTATTTTTTTTCCACCACTTCTATTACCATCGTGTTTTTAAAACCCTAGCATTACACATCATTTATTGATCACCACTAATCTGCACACTCAAACCAAGGAATAAGAAACTCATAATATAATTCTCAAGATAATCTCACAATCAAATTTCAAAGTCTGTACCAAGATGGTAAAGTAAATGTATATAGCATTTAAAAGTCACGTTCTATATTAGCCATTGGATTTAGACACCCCCACTATTTATCATAACCAATCCATATCAAGTGCCTGGAGTACTATTCAGTAGCTTTTAACTATCACCAAAATTAACAACCTCCCAAGTTTAAATTTTTTCAACAAATTAGAAGGAATTATAAATAGTACTTACTAATTTAAGACTGAAAACAGAGGTAACAATTACAATTTTAGGCGACATTACCTTGTGCAAAATCATTGGGAGTATATGGCACAAAACAATCTAATAAAAGATGAAATTTATATTGATAACCAATTAAGTACCGAATATTAGCATAAAGAATACACTGAATTTTTTTTTTATAAACACAAAGTGGTAAAGCATTAACAAATGATTCATTCAATTCTGCAGATACTACTTAGATATTTATCTGCATAGTATTTCAAATTACTCAAGCTATTCTTCAACGTGTCATAGTCATGCACTCAATTGAAGAATGCAATGTTATCATGTAATTACATACTCCCACTATTTCTAACAATTATTCATTCAAGACTACTCATGGAGTTCATATGTTAAGATAGTGCAGAAATAGTGTTCTAGGTACTCAAAATGATATACACTCAAAGTAGTACATAAGCATAAGAGCCATCTTATTGGGTACAAATCACACATTAACATCAACCAGAAACTTGACCTTTTTTTTTTTTTTTTTAAAATCACACACATTCAGCAACTAAATAACTGCAAAGTCATTCATATATTTTGAGATCATCATTATTTAAAATGAGGTTGTCTACAAACTTGAAAATTGAACTTGACTCCAAGTTATACATGCATTGTGTTTAGTGTATCTCGACTGCAGTTGAATTCAAGTTGACGGCCAACTGGTTTACAATTGTTTGAACTATAATGTCATAAGACTTGTACTTTTGTATAGCAATGTTTTCTTTTGCAATCACGTTGAAAACCAAAACCAAGAAAATACTCATATACAAGTCTTTTAGACATACTTCAAAACTATGAGATCGTACACATTAAAGTAATGAACTTTTAAATTTGAATGCGATTAGGCAATAATAAAATGCATTGCATTAATTACTTATTCTTAAAACCTCATCACTAGATTTCATGTGCACACATCTAAAATTACTTAGCAATTTCACAACCAGTTCAAAAACTTTGAATATAAAGTTTTTTTTTTAAATAGGAGCAAGTAGAATGGGCATATATTTCGAATTATTTATAGGCGCCTACACAATATTGATACCAGACTCCAAAGTACATAAAATCAATGGATATTATCCTTTCTAGTCCGAGTCTATAATTATGACCATTCACATGAAATATCTTGTTTATTAAAGTTTGTCCCGATTATGTTATGCACCATGTAAGATTCTCATCGTCGGAATTATGTTAGTTTTATGATTTGATTATTTAGAAGCAAAACATGCAACGAGAGGCTTATCGTCTTAAAATTGTTGGTTCTAGACCAAATTAATCATATAAGTAATAGTGATTTCTTTGGTAAAAATTTAACAAAGAAATTCACAAAATCTCATACCTCAATATTGCATTAACAAATGCAAATAATTTGTACCATCAAAGTTATTTTGGCATTGGTTGATGCGCAAACTAGATCTTAAAATTATTGGATGAATAGCTTCTGATCTTCAATCCGACCACCTTGAATTGACAGCTACTAAAAAGTTCGGTAGGGCTGAGGCGCGTTAAACGCTCTCTTTAAGACGATACGCGCCCCTACGGTATTTTTTAAACCGATGCAAAAGGTCTAGCGCGCCGCCTCCAGGATACAACAACCCAACTCTATAGTTGTTGCTTCCCTTTGATCTGCACAACCAAGAGAAGCAGAAGCTTCCCAATATCTTACTTTGCCCAAAAAAAATAGAATGAGGGAGAAAGAAATGAGTGTGAGGAAAATAGTATTTAGAATGATTTTTTGTTGAGAGAAGTGTATATATAAATTCTCCAAAGAATTTCACTATTTATAAGCTACAAAACCTTAAGAAAAAGGGGTTGAAAATGTGTAACGGTTTTTTCATATTAAATTGTAGTCAATTGGTAGAATTTGTAACCTAAAAAATTAATCCACATTTGAATGGGTTATAAAGACTCAATTAAATCCTCATTTGAACAAATAATTCATTTGTAACTCTAATTCAAATAATTGTATAATAACTCCATTTAAAATGCATTGTAACTCCCACAATTATAATTCCCATAACTCCCAAATAAATTATTATAACTCCTAGTAATGAAACTCCCACAATTATAATTCAAATAATTTCCAAATGAATTATTATAACTCCTTGTAAAGATTTGGTCAAGGAAAAAATTAAGATTTTATTAAAATACACCAACAGGGTCGAATCCACAGGTATTGGGAGTAATTGTTTCTTTTCAAATTCACAGTGACAAGGGGGTGTTTTTATATCAGGGGTGACAATTTAAGCAATTCAACTAAAAGTAAAATAATAAAAATAAAATAGCCAACTAGAAATTAAATAACTATTTACTAAAATCAAATGAATGATAATTAAGGATCTAGTCAAGAAATAACTTCAGTAATGGTTCACCTAATTGATCATTGAAACAAAGGCAATTCCAATTATTCACTAATAAATAGGTTATAACTGTCAAACAAGCGATAACAGTCAACCCCTCCTTACTGTGTCGGTGATCAAGGTATGCCCGTTAATCACTGCTCTAATTAGGAAATAATCCTAGGTACGCCCGTAAGATTTAATTTCTCAATTGCCTTACGTATTAGATGAGCCCTATTCTAACCAAATAATGCGCTACTAGGGTTATTTTAGATTAGCCCACATATTCCCCTGACACAAATTTAATCATGCCAGTTGTCACTATTTTGAGGCAATTAAACAATTACGGATTTAATACCTCAATTAACAATAGATTATTAAATTAACTAATTATCCGGATTCAAGACAACCAATTAATTCAATAATCACAAGTACTACAATCAAGAAATATGCGAATACCAATAAATAAAAGGAAAAGATAAAATTAAATCGATTTCACAATTTTTAGGCGAACCAAAGCCTCCGTTATCCCTTAACTAGAGTGAGAGAGTTAGTTCATGTTGGATGAGAAAAAATCATACGAAATTGGCGAGGAAATCGCGGCCATCAATTGGGAAATGGTAAACTCGATTTAATGGAATATTGACTGAAAAGAAAAGCTACTGGAAGTACTCCATTGTTTTTGCTTCTCCTAACATGCGGAGAAAAGAAAACTACTCAAGGCTAAAAGGAAAAGTCAAAGCTAAAGCTACCAAAAAAAATGCTTCCTGACATGCCAGGGAGACCAAAAGCTACCCAGAAAACAAAAACAAAAGAAAGGTCAAAAAAGCCCCCCATTGTGCCCTTCCTCTGTACAATTTCTATTTCGTCTCTTGTGCCCTCTATCTCAATTGCGGCGGCCCACAGAAGAAAAGAAGACTTCGGCCCAAATTGCCCAAAAAGGGCTTGCGTCTCTTTTGTTCCCAAAATGCCTCTGGGACAAACCCTATCATCTGGATTCATTTTCTATTAAATTGGCACCTGTTATTATATTTTCACTCTACTCCTTGAAATAAATGTAGAATACTAAAAGTGAGTAGAATCCTACAATTAATTCACATCAGGTCAGGTAATAGGGGAAATTAATAATAAAATAAATAATAAAATTACACCCTATCATCAAACTATTAGATGCAAGTAAAAGATCACAAGTCAAGAATCATACAAGGAGAGTGTTTAACATACCGATCACTTCTGAAAATAACATCAATGCCTTCAATCTGTTCTTGAATTTCTTTAGCAAAATTCTCAATAGGTTCACTACAATAGTGGGCCTCAAGCCGCTGCAGGGTACCAAGTTCCTCAACACCAAAAGGGATCTCCTCCAAGAGCTTGCATGATTTCAGAACAAGATGTTGAAGGCACGGAAAGTGGCGAACTATTATTGCTTCCCAATGGATCAAATCAGTGTTTTCAATTAGCAAATGCTTTAGACTGAAAACCTTCTTCAGTTGGCTCCCATTTTGGCCCTTGGAAAGCATAATTTTTGAGTTTAAGCACCTCAAGGTTGGGCAACATGGCAATAAAGGTCATATCTTCCCATGGTAAGTAACTCCAACTCAAACTCAAATGCTTAAGAGTCACTGGCAAAGCAGCCAAGCCCAAATTCTTTCGCACTTCGCTATTTTGTGTGAGGAAGGAACACTCCAGGGTTTCAAGTTCTTGCAAGCAAACAAGATTATTTAGGACTTGTGACAAACTGTCTGTGCTGTAGTCTTCTTTAGTTTCACAAATTCCCAGTTTCTTAAGATGGGGCATGACACTGAAAACTTCCTTTGTGCAACATGAAAATTGTATTGTATAGAGAGTTTGCAGGTGTTCTGAAGCAAATGGACGAGGAAGGTTATCTTGTACAGTGAAAGGATTCTTTAGATGACAAGCTGCAGTAATATGCACATGCCTCAGTGAAGGCATACTCCAATACTCCAGTAACAATGTTGGGCTACCGCCAGATTCCCGACAAAGCCATGGACCATGAATGACTAAGGTCTGGAGATTCCTCTGCTGGGAAACTAAGGCAGGAAGCTCATAAGTAACATTGAGTGCAAGATACCTCAAATGTATCAGTTTTAGAATTTGATCAGGGAAGTAATCGAATGCAGAAAGAATATATCTAATACTCTAAGCAACTTAAAGCCTAACTGAAAGAATAGAATATCAGGTACTATATTAGCACCCAGTGTGAAACACAGAAAAGATGAGACATGTGGGATTGCAGGTGCTGCAGACACATCACTGTAGGGATCCAAATGGAAACTCAGACGACGTTGATTACGCGTGCCTGTTTGAACACCTTTGGCACTTCTCCTTTGTATGACATGCATTAAGTTCTCCTTTGAGCTTCTTTCAAGCACAATTCCCGTAAGAAGTCATGGAGGCGACAAGTTTTGACTTCCCCCCCAAAGCGCTTCTTTTCAACCAAAACTAAGGTTCTGCTGATAAGGTCTTCCAAGTAATCCTCTCCAATCTGTTCCAACTGTTTCTCTGAATCCAAATATAAGAAGCCCTCTGCAGCCCATAAATTAATCAATTTTGAAACTTCAATCTCACAATCTTCAGGGAAAATCCCCATATAGAGGAAGTAGGCTTTCAGGTGATGAGGCAAGTAATTGTAACTCAAAGCAAGTATATCTAAGCAATTTTTTGGATCAGTAGGAACAACTGAGCTAACCTCCTCTGCAATATTATTCCAATAATTGTATTCCCTGATGACACGTGAGAGAACACCAGCAACAACGATAATAGCTAGAGGTAATCCCCAGCATCTCTTAGCTATTTTTTTTCCAACTCCCACCAATTCTTGGGGGCAGCTTGCTGTCCCGAAGATGAGCATTTCCAATAGTTCCCAGCTTTGTTCTGTATTCAGAAGGTTCATGCAATGAGGTGGCTTTTTGGGACTCACATTTGTTGCTAACTCCATGAACCGAGTTGTAACTACTATTCGACTTCCATTTTTGTCATCAGGAAAACAACTTTTGACATCATTCCAAGCATCAATACTCCACATGTCATCCATAACAATCATATATCTCATACCTTTCAAACTTTTGTATACAACTTCAGCTAATTGAGCATTGCTCTTCTCAACCATTTTATCAGTGGACCGTGCAATGGAGCTCAAAAGGCCTAGTAACAAATCTCTCACTTGATAGACTTGGGATACTGTTATCCATGCACGACAATAGAAGTGATAAACAATATAAGGATCATTAAAAGCTTTTCTAGCAAGAGTTGTCTTGCCAATTCCGCCCATCCCAGAAATTGTCACTATTTCTAGTCCTGGCAGTCTAGTGAGCCCCTCCAAGATAGTCGTCAGCTCAGCATCAAGACCTACCACAATATCCTCCTTATTCGAACTAAGTGGTGCTTTCCTGATGCTTAATCCCCGCAATCTTAGACTCTTTTCATCTATATTTGTAGTCACTCTCTTGATAGATTGAACATCCTATAATGCATGAACTAAAACTCGTCGAATGCCCTTCTTTCCATCTAAGGCACTCTTGACCGCAGTTTCAAGAGAACTTTTCCCCACTGCCTGCGGTAGGAATCTAGATGGTGACTCACTATTGGACAAAGTGCAAATGAGGTACGTCTTTACTGACTTGACTTGATTGTCCACGATACATTCTTTAACAAGATCTCTTGCTCTATAAGCAACGTCTTTGATGCATTTCAGCAAGTCATGATCCTGGAATTTATCAGAAGAATCATCAAGAAAACTCAGCAAGGAGAAAAGATCCTGGTAAAGAATTGTGATCTCAGAAGCAACTTCATAGAAAAATATTATGGCCTGTTTGAGCTTATCCACGGCCCAAAGCATTTTTTTTTGCTGCTTCACGAGAAGGTTGATGAACAACGTAGTTGGATAGATCTATCCGGATGTCGAGGGCAGTGGTTTCCAGAAATTTCTTCAGGTCTTGCTCCAAAGATCCAATTTCCGTCAGAATTGGTGGCTTTTTTTCCTGCAATTTTGGTATTCCGCAGCTCAAGGACACTGTTCTTTTCTTGATCTCCAAGAAGTCAGCATGCAGACCAACTGCCCCAAGAAATCCTTCAAAGCTGGATGCCAGAGTTTCCGGTTCTTCGCTTAATTGCTGTAAACCTGAGCTCGACGAAGCTAAGGGTTCTCCTGTAAGGATCGAATACAAGCTAAGAGGGGGGTGAATTAGGTTATATATAAACAAGCCAAGATATGAGTCACCTTTTTCTTTTCGACCTTGCTTTCTTTTTCAAGGGGACCTCACTGAGAAGCAATTGATGGACTAGCACAAGTAATCTGTGAGTAAGAGAGGTAATGCAATATCTATATATATAACAAGACAGTAAATGAAGGGATGGAATTGCAAACCAAGTTTCAAATTTGACTAAGTTTGAATATCACTTTATATATCAAGCTTCTTCAATATGATTAACTTTCCACCAATCTCTTGTGTACAAAGAAATGATCATTTCCTCCTTGCCTCATGTCTCACTTGATCAAGCAAGGAAGTTTTACACTCGCACGGATAACCCTCACAAAGTTACACTATTGAAGAAATTGAATCACACTTGAAAAGCTTAAAGGAGATTACACAACCAAGAGTACAAATCTTCTTTTTGGAGTATTTGTACACTTGAATTACTCAAGATCTGATGTAGACTTAATGTGTAAAAGTTCTTTTGAGGAGTTGACTAATCTCAGTTTATAGGGAACCAAAAAATTTTTCAATTAATACTGTCAACGGATAGAAGGTAGCTGGAAGGTCAACTTGCCGTTGGTAGTGTCGGACGTCCTTTGAATTTCTGCGTCCGAACGAAGACAATGAGTTCAAGATGATTTCTCGCAATTCTTAGGACGTCCGGTCCCTCCACAGTATACGTCCGAAAGTAAACTTGCAAATCCTTCTTTATTTCTTTCGGACGTCCGATGCTCCAGTGTTTTGCATCCGAAGAGTGGCAACGTTTGTCGGACGTCCGGTGCTCTGATTTTGTGTGTCCGAACGAGGTCAGTGATCATAGATGTTTTGACACATTACCTTCGGACGTCCGAGTGTGAGTTCTTTATGCGTCCAAAGTTACTCAATGGTTGTCGGCCGTCCGATATGGTCCTTTTGTGCGTCCGACAGCAATTTCAGTAATTTGTCAAACCTTGATCCAGTTTTTGCTTCAAGTCTTTGGTCTGGTTTTTGTTCCAAATCCTGAAATGAACTCTTTAAAGTATGTTAGTAGCATCTAATTGTTTTGTAATCATCAAAAGTTATGAACTGAGATATACAATCTTCCCCTTTTTGATGATGACAAAACATTGTATGGATCAAAACGAATTCAACTCCCCCTCACTTATACGATCCATATCCATTTTCTCCCCCTTTTTGTCATCATAAAGCAGCCATACCAATCAAATTTATCAGCATTCAATAGACATTATCAATTTGACTAACCAGATCAATATATCAACAAAGGATAAAGACATCCATTCACAGCAAATGATAAAAGCATCCATTCATAGAAAAAGAACATCAGTTAACAGAATAATATCAGTTTTACAGACCAAAAGAGAATTATGATCCTCATAGCATAGCAAAAGTTTTTCAATGTAAAAGATGAACTATTGTCCTAGTGATGAAATGCAAAGTCCTAGTAGCGCTTAGATGGTGATTTTCAATGATCCAGACCTTCTCCTGGTTAGACGAAACTGCTCAGGATTCACTTCATCCTCAGTTTCATCATTATCATCTTCAGTTGTCTCCACAGTTACAGGAGCCTTGCTTTTATCTTTGGGCTGAGAGCTGGAAGCATGTGCCTCTGGAGTGGCTTCAGTACCAGGAGTATGCTCTGTGGGCTGAGGTCTTGACTTTTTTTGAAGAGCACTTTCATTGAATTCAGGGATTGGAGGCACGAGGAGACTCCTTTTTTCAATAAAGGTGGACTGCTCGCCAGGAGACATGATGATACGAAATATGGGCCGCTTATGGGCCATGTTTTGGGCTGCAAGAGATTGAATCTTTTAGTAATAGTTAGTAGTTTATTTTCCAGATTTCTATTTTATTTGCGAGGAATAAATTCGGTCCAAGACCTCATGTTGAGTTGGATCCGATTTATAGAGTCTAGGCTCACCATTACTTAAGTTGGTTAATTAGCTTTTTTGGGTTATGTTGGGCCAGCTTAAAAGCCTTCATTGGATCGATTATAAGCTGACCATTAGATAGTGGATTTGAGTAGTAGAATTGGCCCAAAGGCCTAGCCTAACTGAGTTAGGGTTTTCCCAAGTTACTTTAGGTTTTCAAGTTGTATGCCTATATATAGCCAAGGCAAGAGACGTTCATGATCAGTTTTGAAGATCAATAAAATTGTGAGTTTTCACTTTTCTCTTTCCAAGAGAGCCTCTTTGAATATTTGAGAATCTTTCTCAAGTTATTCAAGTGAACTTATCAATCAAATAACTCCTTGGTTGTGGCGTTCCTCTACCTATAGTTTGGTTCGCTAATTCATTAGGTAACGGGTTGAGATAATATCAATAGTGTTCGTTATCTCGGGGATTAGATTTGGGTCAAATTTCCGCTGCTAAACCGTTGGTGATTCGTTGTCTAGATCGCGTCAAGTGAGTTTCATATCATCTGGTATCAGAGTTTCGGCTCTTGATTCAGGTTAATATCCTTTTTCTTTTCTTATTTGTCTATTTTTTTTTTCTATCGAAACCCTAGCCGCCTTTCAATTTTAAAAGAAAAAAAAAATTTTTGGTTCTTGTTTTTTTTTAATTATTTTATCACTTGAGTCTAACCTACCCCCTTGATTGAACGAGGTTGGAATTTCTTGGTGTGATTACGTTCTTGAAAACAGGTTTTTCAAGGGTTTAACTCCCATTAAATTTCTTCCAAGTGAAGTCCTAACCTTGCATCGAGTCGTCAAAAGCAAAAAAAAAAATAAATAAAAATACTGTTCACAGCGGTACTGTTCATCGGAACTGTTCACACTGTAGCAGTACTGTTCATCGCCGCACTGTAGCAGTACTGTTCATCGTACTGTAGCAGTACTATTCATCCGAAAATTATTATTTTTTTTTTCTCTTTTTTCCCCATACCTTGTGGTTGTTTCTTGTTGTTCTTGCTTCTTGTGGTTGGCTTGATAATTTCTTGAAGTTCTTGGATTACATATAACATTCTCCGAGTTACTCCTTTGTAAACAAGCACTCGATTTGAGGACAAATCGTCTTTCAAGAGGAGGGGAATGATGAGAACATGAAGATTTGCATGGATTCCTTTCATTTTACAAGTCTGCACATTCTAATGATGGTTGATGGTGCAATCGGGCTCGAGAATCATTGAAGATCCAAATTTTTCAAATTTTAATTGGCTTCCAAATCTTGATTGGTATCTTGATTGATTTCCAAATTGAGAGTTAAGTAAGTTGTTTGAATTAGGGAATAAAGGCTAAGGTCATGTTGACCATAGTTAAGCCAATTTGAATTAGTTAGTTTCCTATTCTAGTTGAATTAGAGTTTTAGGAAAGCAGTTAATTGCTTCCAAATTTGTTTAGGAAGTTGTGTCAAGTTTAGAAGTCAAGTCAAATAAGGAAACTTGTATTGTTTCCAATTTAGATTAGGGTTTTGAGTCTTGCAAGGCTATAAATAGCCAACTTTATTTAACTATTGAAAAAAGGAGACAATTATGAGATGAATAAAAATTGAGAGTTTTCTCTTTCTTGTTCCTTTGGGAGCGTTCCTTGATACAAAGTGAGTTGTATCTCCTTTGTTCAAGTTTTGGCTTATCAATTCAAGATCACGTTGAATTGTGGCGCCATTCTACACTTGCCTGAGGTTCACTAATTCGTTTGGTTACGGGTTGAGATAATATCAACAAGTTCGTAGTCACGGGGATTAGAGGGGTCGTAAGGTCTTTCCATCTTTGTATCCATAACCTGATCAAGATAGATCCTTCCGCTGCCTGATCGATTCGGTTCTTCAAGACAGGTTCTTGTTGGGTCGAGTTCGTATCACGAGACAAACCTTGAAAATCTTGTTGACGACTCGATGCAAGGTTAGGACTTCACTTGGAAAAAATTTAATGGGAGTTAAACCCTTGAAAAACCTGTTTTCAAGAACGTAATCACACCAAGAAATTCCAATCTCGATCAATCAAGGGGGTAGGTTAGACTCAAGTGATAAAATAATAAAAAAAAACAAGAATCAAAAATTTTTTTTTCTTTTAAAATTGAAAGGCGGCTAGGGTTTCGATAGAAAAAAAAATAGACAAATAAGAAAAGAAAAAGGATATTAACCTGAATCAAGAGCCGAAACTCTGATACCAGATGATACGAACTCGACCCAACAAGAACCTGTCTTGAAGAACCGAATCGATCAGGCAGCGGAAGGATCTATCTTGATCAGGTTATGGATACAAAGATGGAAAGACCTTACGACCCCTCTAATCCCCGTGACTACGAACTTGTTGATATTATCTCAACCCGTTACCTAATGAATTAGCGAACCAAACTATAGGTAGAGGAACGCCACAACCAAGGAGTTACTTGATTGATAAGTTCACTTGAATAACTTGAGAAAGATTCTCAAATATTCAAAGAGGCTCTCTTGGAAAGAGAAAAGTGAAAACTCACAATTTTATTGATCTTCAAAACTGATCATGAACGTCTCTTGCCTTGGCTATATATAGCCATACAACTTGAAAACCTAAAGTAACTTGGGAAAACCCTAACTCAGTTAGGCTAGGCCTTTGGGCCAATTCTACTACTCAAATCCACTATCTAATGGTCAGCTTATAATCGATCCAATGAAGGCTTTTAAGCTGGCCCAACATAACCCAAAAAAGCTAATTAACCAACTTAAGTAATGGTGAGCCTAGACTCTATAAATCGGATCCAACTCAACATGAGGTCTTGGACCGAATTTATTCCTCGCAAATAAAATAGAAATCTGGAAAATAAACTACTAACTATTACTAAAAGATTCAATCTCTTGCAGTCCAAAACATGGCCCATAAGCGGCCCATATTTCGTATCATTCCCCTCCTCTTAAAAAAAGATTTGTCCTCAAATCGTGTTTGGAAATGAATGGTACTACAAGAGTTGGCAGTATGAAACTTCAAATCTCCACATATTGGCTCTCTTAGAATGGATGATACTTGCATACGTCATGATTATTGTAATTCGGTGCACATGTCTCTTGGTTAGCTTGAAAATGCTCACAATCCGCCATGGGAAACTCAAGGCTTTACTCCAACCACTCCAAAGCTCTCTAATCAGCATTGTGTCATGAATGGTCGAATTTGGACCTACACAATAAATCACACGATTAGGATTTGTAGGTATAAAATCACTTGACAGCTTACCATTCACATTCACAAGATAAGGATCTTCATAGTGGTGCTCAATCAGGCTAGGAAAGTCTCGGACATGATTGTGCAAAGTTACAAAATTCATTGCAAGTTGTTGTGGGTATGGCCTATCTTGCACAAATGGAACAAGATCGAGATAGGTAGCTTTTGAACCCTCAAATTGAAGAATAAAACCAGGTTGTAAAGAATCAGAATTTGGACCAATGAGGAAAGGATTGTCACCAACAAAATAAGAAGGAAATTTATAACAAGTTTCAAGTGTAGAAACTCCCTTTGAAACTTCATTATTCCTCCCAACAAGCAAATCAGGCTCATGGTTGACGTTGAACATCAGTGGATGACAAAGAGAGACAACACTTAAGGTGCAAACTCCATGAAAAGTTTGATATTCACCAATGGATTTAGGCATAGAACATGCCAAGATCAACTCAATTTTTCCTTGCTTAACCTGCATAAAAGTAGAAACACTAAACAAAGTAGAGTCAAGATCGTCAGAAAAAACATATGATCTCACATCCTTTCTCACAATCAGCTTACTCTTAGAATTTTTAATCTCTTTTTCATGCTCAGTAGCTGACTTTTTCCCCTCATTATTCTCAACCTCTTTCTCCTTTTCAACTCCCTCGAATTTTACCTCTTCAGTCACAATTCTCTCCTCCAGCTCTTTCTTCATACTATAACGCTCATGCTCACTCTTCATGTATGCTAGATCAATACAAAGTTGCTTAGAGTTAAGCGACACAAGCCTGGTACGACGGCCATTAAATGTGAAGGAATACTTATTAGTATATCCATCATATTTGACTTCTCGATTAAACATCCACCATTGTCCCAACAGCACATGCGTCACTTGAATGGGAACCACATCATACCACACCTCATCCACGTATTGACCAATACGAAAAGGAACAAGTGTGTGCTTAGTAATCCAAATATCACCACTATCACTTTGCAACTTGTAAGGTCGAAGACGATCAATGGTTGGAAGATTCAATTTCTCAACCAAGACAGTACTTGCGAGATTAACTTCACAACCCTTATCAATGGCTAAGCTGCAAACTTTATCCTTGATATGGCAACGTGTATAAAACCAATCATTTTTTTGAGCTTTGATGATTTCCAATTGCTCAGTTATCTCACGCAAGGCCACAGTATTTACTCCTTTAGGCACAAGATGGTGAAGCTCCAGTTGAGCATTCGTTTGTCTCATACTTTTATTACCTGCAAAACTCAACAAAAATTAGTAAAACAGTCCTCACTCGCTCCCTTACGTGTTTCCACTCGCACTCGTGTATATGGATGTCACTCTAATGGACTTACCAAATACCTTTACCTGTTGGGTTAGGTAGTTGAGAAATGCTGCTCAAGTCCAACAACCGTTACCAACCTTTCCACAAGTGTAATCACAAGAATGTAGGAGAAAATGTAGGAAAGTGTTCCTAGAATCTAGGAAGAATATAGGAGAGTTTCCTAAAGTGGATGAGAGAATATAGGAAAGGTCCTAAAAATGGATGAGAGAATTTTAGGAGAGTTTCCTAAAAAATGGATGAGAGAATTTAGGAAAGTTTCCAAAAAAAAAAAATGGATGAGAGAGTTT